ACCGAGGGGAGTTCAATTTCCTATTAAGAGCTTTCCTTGACCTGGTCTCAACTCCATCAAACCTCAGACTTTGGGGCAAGGAAGAAACTGCCAACTGCCCCAAGTGCATGGCAACTGAATGACACGTACATTAAATCATATACTCAGTATTTGGGTTACAGCTCCCACTGATGGACAATACAGATGGCGTCATGATTGAGACTGAGGATGCCCATACTTTGATCTGGGCCTATCTTCAATATCTATCTTGCGTTTCTTTGATCTGGGCATTATTAACCACTACCACTTCTAACATGTCTCATCAGATTGACTTTTGCATATGTGACAATAAAATAGTCTGACTTAGTATTGTGCTGTCATATTGGAATTACACTATCATAATGAACACATCATGTACTCGTAAGCGGTGCACACAAGCTGCAAAATTTGGCCAACATTTCACCAATAAGCAACATTGAGCTCTATCTACATGACTCTGCCAGAGCAGCTTCAGCCTTTGAAGTTGACATTAGTGTTTAGAAGTTAACATTTTGAACAAGAAGTGCCCCCCCCCCTTTTTCAGTTACATAATCGTGTGAAGTGTCAACACTTAATTTCTTATAGTTTTTCCAAAATTTCGATTGCAAATATGTTCAAAATTAATGTACCTATATATTCAAAATCATAAATGCTCATGAATAACCAAGACTTTAACACAGAGGGAGAGATATTGGTCGTTACCATTGAAAAAAGCCAAAAATGATAGAGGTTGTCACATATTATGCAAATGGGAAAGTTTGCATGATTATTGCATTTTTTATAAGTATATTATAATACAGGTAGCTCCATTTTGGTACCACTTACAGCTTTCAATTCTCAAAACTGTGGAAGTTATTGTACTTTCAAATGATTAACATCAACCACGGTGCCCATGTCAAGCTGCGCGCCTACTTAGGCGCGCAGTTTGTTTCGATCACAAACTGCGTGCCTATCATTTAAGTTGGAGTCTGTAGTTTGAAACGTAATTTAAAGACATTTATCCTGCATTGTTTTCTTGTTCAATGCGTTCATTCTGTGGCGAATATACGAATCTTGCAAATACTAGCAAAAACTATGTGCAAATGAATCTGAGTTTTAAAACATAAGCAGATTAATGGCATTTTTCGTCATTGATTTAACGGGAATTTATACGTAAATCGATCTAGCACTTTAAACATAAATGACAAATACTTTAGACTCGTTTTATATTTAATTCCTTACGCATTTATTATGTATAATTCAAAATATTTCGAGATAAAACAGATAATCAGGAGATTAAAAAGAAATAAACCACAAACTGCGCGCCTATTTTAGCCAGAAATTACAAACTGTGTGCATACACTATTAAAACTACATATTATCATTGGAATTTCTACAGAGGCACGTAAAGGTGTTTTTCATATAGCTTTGGAAATTTTGCTTTATCATCAGATTTTATGAGATTTTCATATTGAAAGTCAAAATGTATAATAGAAGTAACAATTAAGTTGGGAACGAAAGAAAGTATTTTATTTTCAGATCACCATCTTGGTGGACGGACTCTCATAGTGTTTCAATTATGGGGTTCTACTATTAGACACATATGTGCCTTACATATGGCGCTTACGTTTTCTAATAATACAAAACAAGCTTGGATAGGCAAGTTTGGAAATATTAGGCACGCAGTTTGGGAAATACATGTGAATATAGCCGCGCAGTTTGACAAGAAAAATGTTTAAATCACGTGTATGGCGTATTATCGTTTTGAACACAAACTATGCTGCTTTAATCAGATAGAGTGATCCTATATATTCTAGCATACACAGACACAATGGCTGAATAAACGGCATATGACGACAGTAAATTTTGAGCACAGAAGTTACTTAAGACCCTTATATTGAGATAACTCGGTTAACATCGGGAAAAACATTGAGTACTAAGAGTAAATTAAGTTAATCTTCACAGAATGGTACTATCTTTAGAACGAGACTAACCTTGTATTTTTCGTATTTTGGCTCTTTTTGGGAGTCGAGTCCTCCCCATCTTACATTTTGAAATATGCGCGCAGTTTGTCAGAGTTTCAAACTGCGTGCCTAGTAGGCACGCTGCTTGACATGGGCATCGTGTCAACTCTTTCTCAAGAAATGCCACGCCCCTTTTCAGTAACATAATCATGTGAAGTGTTATAACTTAGTGTCTGACAATGTTTTTTCCAAAATAAATATGTTCAAAATTAATGTACCTATATATTTAAATTCATTTATGTTCATGGATGACTAAGACTGGTCACTCAGGCAGCAAGGTATTGTGCGATACCGTTGTAAAGAGGCAAACATTACGATTAATGATGTCACATTTTATGCAAATGAGACTATTTGCATAATTATTAATCTCATAATATGGGATACTATAATAGCTTCATTTTGGTACCACTTACAGCTTTCAATTTTAGTTATTGTACTTTGAAATGATTAACATCAATTCTTTCGCAAGAAGTGCCACGCCCCTTTTCAGTTACATAATCATGTGTCTGACAATGTTTTTCCAAAACTTTCAATTGCAAATATGTTGAAAATTAATGTACCTATATATTTAAATTCATTTATGTTCATGAATGACTAAGACTGATCACTCAGGCGGAAAGGTATAATGCGATACCGTTGTAAAGAGGCAAGAATTATGATTGATGATGTCACATTTTATGCAAATGAGGCAATTTGCATAATTATTGCATCTGATAATATAGGATACTACAATAGCTTCATTTTGGTACCACTTACAGCTTTCAATTCTCAAAACTGTGGAAGTTATTGTACTTTGAGATAATTAACATCAACTCTTTCAAAAATTCAAGATGGCCGACAAGATGGCCGCCAATGGATACCATGGGACAATATTTCATTCTGGGAACATGCAAAAATCTTTAGTATGGACCTTTAGGATTACAAAAATGTACATTAAAAAAATACATCTTTCGGGTGCATGGGAACCCCTCCTTCCTACCCGTCTAATTATTTCAAATGGTTATTTATTCTTTCCTTTTATCATATGTTTGGTACTGATCATCATATGCCATTTGGTTGACGTATACAGCATGACGAAACAAATTAATGGACAAGGAAGGTCATTACAAACTTTTCCCATAAATGATAAGTGCAGAAATATCTGTATTTACTTTTCTTCGGAGATTTATAAAAAACGGGAACAAATCAACAATCAATTCTGTTTAGCTAAACTGTTACGATTATTTTATCATGATTATAGATCATCATGAATAAATTAGCAACACATTACCATTTTAAAACTCAACCCGGACTTCCACAACCATATGAACCATGAAAGAATTACAAAAGAATAATTCAAATACTATTTAATCCCAAATAAGCGTTGATTTCATTCTCAGAATAGGATTCACTCCCCCCCCCCCCCAATGATGTTGGTCGAGTTCTATTCCTTCAACATAACTGGGAATCAACGAAACAAACTTAAATTAGATTAAACGATATACCAGCTATGATTTATATGAATACATAAGAAAAATATAATATGTATAATGATTGGATCAGAAAAATGTCAAATCGTTTCTGCGCTCTCGCCATCAATATGTTGTAATAATTATGTGAATTCTTATTAAAGTGCCAATTCGGTAATTTCCATTTTTTTCCTAACACAAATAGATTCAATGGGTATTGGTTGGTAGAAACAGTATACCAACAGACTCACATCTTCATTTGATTGTCTTCCAGTGCCAAAATAAGATTTCCCGGAAAAACATGACGTCATGATCAGAACCGGTTATGGATTTTAATCGGCAATGCGTTATGCAACGCAAATGTAAATTCAAAAGTGTTCATGATATCCTGTGTTCTGATTGGCCACAAAGGAGTAACGCTTCTCAAAATCACCTCATGGTTCAATGCCTTTTGGTTGTAAGATTTTAAACAGCATTGAGTTAGTAACAGGATCAACTCAACGTTTATAGTTTCTATACTGTATTCTGACTGGCCAGAATGTAATTTTGCATGACTAACTTTGTGAAAACGCACCACAGGGTCGGGAGCTCTAATTGAGGAAGAATCGTGGCTCCAAAGTAGTCAAAGTTGAATCATTTCCCCACTGCATTGAATGCAGTGGCAATCAATTACACTGACACTATATAAGCACGTCCGGAGATCATAAACTCCAGCAACAAGCTAAGTTCAAAACCTGTTCTGATCGTGATGTCATGATTGGCACTTGACATTGGGTTCCCGATTTTGAACATCAAATTTCACATTTATAGAAAGATACGGTACATGGTGTGACTTGTAAGTGGTGTTTACTTCATTTAAAACCTGTATAAACTGGATTTTGACCCCATGAGCATCGCACAGACACTTTAAAACTGATTCGCTTTTCATTTTTTGGTTTTATAGTTTATAATTGTGTTGGGGGGGGGGAGATAGGTCAAAATTGCCAAATTCAACATCCATAGCGCTTTTATTTCATAATATTGAACGGACTACATCAGACCAGACCTATGCACGATCCTATAGTTTGTCTATTAACTGACATAACATATTTTCATGATTTGTTGGTTGAATATAATGTTTCCTGAACACAAAATTAGTTGATTTTCAAATCGCCTTGAAAATGTGAAAAACATTGATATGTAGTACAGGGAAACAAATCCATTGTAGTTTGGAATTGTGATCCATGTGTATCACACTTTTAATCAATACGTTTGGTGTTCAGAACACGATTATATACTTTAGTGGAGAAAAGATTCAGAGGGTGAATTCTATCCTCCTTATATTGACATAATTCTGAGAATTTAAAGTTGAATTCTTGAAATAGTGTTGGAAAGCTTCATTATTTACCCATGTACGCAAAATTCAGAAAGTACACAGAAATAAAAATAGTAGTATGTCATTGAGTTCCAATAACTATAACAACAAGTAAACAAATATAACCATTGATAAGAAAGTTCAAATTCGTATTTAACAATTACGACACGCTGAAAGCACAATATGACGACTGCTTTTTATGATAAGACATACATGTACAGTGTACATTAGAAATGCAAAATATAATATTATTGATAATCACTTGGATACAAACATACAATACAATCATACAAGGAAGAATTAGAATATATTGTTTTAGAACCGAGGGTACATTATGTGAACTTCAATAAATGTTGCATATGAGTATTGATAAGCTAAGCAGGATTTTCCTGAAAGTAAGATGAGGAACTCACACATAGTCATTTGCATTAAATAAACTATGTTTTACGGAAATGAAGCAATAATTCAAAAAGGCAGAATTGAAATACGACATGGCTAATGATAGTAAAAACAATGTAACATGGTGGGATGACATCATGACTAATTATAGTAAAAATAGTGATTCATGGTGGGATGGCAGAAATCCATTCAATGACGAAGATCATATATATTGGGCAGGTAAATCATAGAATATATAATATACATGTTTTGTGTCCAGTAAATGCGTTACGATGATACCTAAACAAATCAGTAATAACATAACTGATACTATGATGTTACTTTTTAACCGAGTTAATTTTCTTACTTGGTTATCTAACAGCTGAGAGAAACAGCTGATATTCATTTATATAAGTCACTATTAACAAATTAAATGACCTTTTCTTCAGTTCACATGGGAACGTTCGCCATTCTTGCAGTCATTCACATTGCAACGTTGTTATATCATAGGAAAAATTGGTATGTAACATTTCAATCTAAGAGATTTTAATATGATACATGCACATGGTGTCACAATACCTAGAACAATTGATCTACTGGTCTATACTTGAGCATGACCATTCAATTTCATGAATTCCAATAGAAGCTTTTATGGTTTGTTCATCATATTTTTCTGGCCATAGCTTTCCATACCTTTCAGTCTTTAAAAAATGAACAGAATAAAGTTTTTTATTAAGCCTACGCCACGAATCATACATAATTGTCGAAGTAGAAATAGTACTACGGCCAAGTGTCCAAAACACCTAGATTCAATTTGACTTTAGATTCCTGTAGGGGACCCCAAGGCATGTAAAAAAAGTTTGTGAACCTTTGCAAAGCAGGCTCAAAAGTGCTGAGTCAGCAAATTTTATCATTTTCGAGTCGGAGTTTGACAACTATTTAATATCTCATTTGAGGATAAAAACATACGTTTGGCAATATTTACTATCGACTGATTAAGAAATTTTGAAGAGAAATTATGTACTTCTAGGGACAAATTATCCCATATCTCTACCAAATTTCAGGAATTCTTCACTCATGCCTTATTGATATACTAACAATGTTTCATTATAATTGCAACATCCTCAAATGAGATATTAAATAGTTTCAATCATATGGTCAAACTCCGACTCGAAAATGATAAAATTTGCTGACTCAGCACTTTTGAGCCTGCTTTGCAAGGGTTCACAAACTTTTTTTTACATGCCTTGGGGTCCCCTACAAGAATCTAAAGTCAAATTGAATCTAGGTGTTTTGGACACAAATTGTCTTGGCCGTAGTACTAAAACATATTAAGAGAGACACAATGGTTATACAGAAATTAGCGGATTGAATAAAACAACCAAATAAATAGAGGTTATTCACTGGGAGGAATCAATATGTGTTTTATTCCGAGGGACAATATGATATTTCCCGAAGGGCCGGAGGGCAAGATGGAAATATCATATTGTCACAAGGGATAAACCCATATTCAATCCCGACCACTACAAAAGCTTTTTATCCCATGATATTCACGACTCAAGAATTCAAATCTGATTTTTCTATGAAACATAACTTATATATTTCTTGTATAAAATATGACTTAACTTTATGACATTTAAAAATATAAAATTTTGTTGTACAACATAAACGCATTAACAACAAAAAATTAAAAATACGCATACATGTCCATTACAGGGCATTCGCATATTGGCATATCTCTCAGATTTCTATGACGTTGACTGTCCGTGTTTTGTTTGGAAAATATCGTTCCTCACATAAGAACATCATTATAGCACGCTTTATCGTTCCGCCTGAACGTGATAGGAAGCTTAAGCTTTGTAAGCAAACATTCCCGGGAGGGGAATACCATATTCGCGAGCGGGATTGGGAGGTGAATACAGAGAGAAATATTGATATCATCCCATCCGAGGAATACTCCCCATATCATCCCGACAGGTGAATAACGACCTTATGACATGGTCAAGAACAACATCTATCTAAAATCCTCTGTTGGATGAGAGAAAGGTTTTGAAAAAATGAAAAAAATGAAATTTTTTGAATAAATACCTAGGTTGATATCCATATCATCCCTCTAGTCCCAATATCATCCCTGATATCATCCCTATCCCAAATATGTGATTTATCACTTCAATAAGCTGGAAAAATCAACATACATCTGAAGGATATCGTAAGACTATCGTACGGGTATCACAAGGCTATCTGACAATGACTGTACGGCACTCGTCCTGGCCTCAGCACCATGCATGAGTGTATATAATATACGCGTCAGAAATCTATGCAATATTTCTGAAATACTCACGATTGAGATCGAAACAAGCTGAGACTGACCCTAACGATCCACCCACTCACCCACCAAAATGTGTTATTCTTTTATAATTTAAATTATGGTTCGTTAAACTGTTCATTCCATTTCTATTTTATAATATAGTTCTTTGTAAATATATTTCATAACCGAACGATGACCATACGGGACACGACCGGGTAGCTACTGATGAGTTTGGTTGAGAAAATCGGCAATAATATACATTGGTAACATTTATCCCCGCGATAGAACTTTTCCGGCGCCTGTACGGCATCTTAATATCGGCAGATATTGGCCGATCATTGCCCGGCGCCCACACGATGCCTATTGTCATAATATATGCTAACTTACTACCAAAACTGTTTGTTTCAAAGTACTAGTATATGTGAGATTACCAAAATGTACAACTCTGAGTTCAAGTCAATAAAGCATGTAAATGTTTTGATATAAAGAAGATTCTTAATCTGGTCTTTACGTAATATTTAGAGTAGTTCTGATAGAACTTTATAGATCCTTATACCTATGACGCGGTATCGCCGCCAGAACCGCGCGAATAGTCGCGCGAAAAATTTATGTATTCCGGGCGAATGTTTTTTATTCCCGCAATTGATTTTAACCAATAAAAATCCTGCGTCTGCATAAGTAGTCGCCCGGAATATTGGTTACCGTCGCCCGGAGATACCCAACCAATGGGATGGCACATTAATGCTGAAAAATTCGACCGTGTCAAACCAATAAATGAAAGCCATCTTCACAACACGATATTCGATCCACCACGTGATATTTCCAGCCTTCAAATTAAGTACAGGGTGTCCCGAAAGTATGGGGCCCCCCCTAGGCAGACATATTCCAGTGTCCTCATAGTATGTGTCATATATCATTTTAAAGCTTATCCAAAGTTACATTGATTTGCCAAGTATCATGGTTTAACTCCCAAATAGGAAAAAGTTACAGTTATTTCAAAAGTTAGTGTTTTGTCAAAATAAAGTTAAAATTTTCACCACATTACTAGTCAATGAGTCTCCCCCTTGGCCATGTTAACAGCAGCAATTATTTTCAAATATAACCTTAAAAGCCCTTCCAAATAGGGGTGTGGAATTTTATAACCCTCTTAAAACCTGTTAAGGCACTTTAGAAGAGTTTCTTTAGAGTTTCTACCCTCACCGTTCTCTTTTTCCAACTCAATACCCATCCGACCCAAAAAGAATTGCTGCTGCTAAGATGGCCCGGGAGAACACATTGACTATTGATTTGGTGTAAAATTGAACTTAATTTTGACCAAACACTAAATTTTGAAATGTCTGTAATTTTTTCACATTTGAGAGTTCAACCATGATACTTGGTGAATCAATGTAACTTTGGATAAGCTTTAAAATGATATATGACACATACTATGACGACACTGGTATATGTCTGCCTAGGGGGGGGGGGCATACTTTCGGGACACCCTGTACATGTCATTTTTCAAATATTTCAAGTCTAAATATTGCTATATGTTGTAAAAGATGATTATTAATTCATGAACCCGATAAACAAATATATACTGTAATTGTAAGTTTTATTGCACTAGTTATTTGGTAAATATAGGTTTAAAACAGTTAGATTTACATTTAGAAGGGAAATGTGTTGATGATGATAATGATAGAAAATGTTCCTTATCGTTGAGAAATTAATCAATTGTTACTATCAAGCTTGAGAATATTCAACAGGAATTTATTTAGAACTCATTTTTGCTTGCCAAATAGTACTTCAGTAATAATTATATGTACAGGCAACAGATAGAGTAGATCGCACACTTAGACAACACCCCTACCAGCCATTAGATGCACACGAATATGAAATGATGGTTGAATTGAATATTTCGGACTTCAAGTCAAGATGGCGGCAGTAAACAAGTAAACATGGTTTTGAATGGTTTATTTAAGTCGGGCGAATTTCAGATTTGAGAAACAATAGCGCGAATAAAGTATTTTTTCTATTGGTTCATCAAGATCGCGCGACCGTAATATTGTCACGCGACGAATAAAATATTCGCGCGATGGTTCGCGCGGTTCTGGTGGCGATACCGCGTCATAGATGCCCGGGTATTCCGGTCGATTTTGAACAAAATACTCATCGACCGGGCGCGTGAGATGATATAGATACTAATGTTTACTTTTCTCTGCGCCATACTGCATACTTCAAATCAGAACCCTACTATGCTTGTGTAGATTATGTGCGCTTGTATGTGGATATCATTCCAGGCATCGTAAATGGTTACCTGGAGAGAAAGCATGCACCAACTTGATACATCCCGAACTTACAATTTATCCAGCCCCTCCATCCGAACAAGTGGCAAACTCACCAAGTTATCAATGGAAAGAGTGTCTAAGGTTCAAACTGACTATGCTCGAACGACCAATGATTTTAGACATCGTCCATTGGATTGGAATGTTCATCATTATCATTTGTATTTGGAGCAGGTCTAAGGAGTTAATCATTGGGACTTCATTCGTAGCATTATTCGACTTCATGCAATTTGTATACATGATTAAATTATACCCCGATCCTAAACCCACGAAATTCCGAATTCAACTTACATACGCGGTCATTGCTGGATTTCCAATGGGAACCATTGGAAAAATGGTGCTTGCACTATCCATGGACGGATATATTCAGCTATATGAAGTACTTGGTGTTTATCAGTATGTATTTGAGGCAATAGCTGGGATCATCCTTATTATATCCATAATTGCCATTTTCGCGCTTTGTGACAAATCCAGTAATCATGATGATGATGCATCAGCGTGCACATGTTTCATATTAACAGGGATCATTATACTTATATTTGCATGTGCAGGGGTAGCAATGGCTGTAATGTCGTATTTATATATGAAGCAACAGAACATTCGAGTAGATGACTTGAAAACGATGTTAAACATAGATGATAACTCTGCAGTGCTCAAATCATGTCCATGCTGGACATGGGCCTTCCTTGTAATATGGATACCTCTGATGATTGCGTCGCTTGTGTTCCTTTACGTCTCATCAAAAGGTATGTTGAATACCAACTAACTTGCAATTTACATATTCATTGAAACAATAGATTCATAAATGTATTTGTAAATGAGTTGTTTCAATCATACTAGCAGGGAACTTAGTTGTAGGTTTGCAAATCCCCTGATAAAATTCACAACAATAAGATTTCATGTATGGACTATTGAAATTATATTGTTTCCTTATGCGAACTTGACCTAAGACCGGGGACCTGAGATGACCTCAATATTATGTAATGTTTAGCCAAGAAGCGTATATAACCAAATTAATTCATGACGTTTGATCTTTGATATGATTTTGATAGATATAATAAAAATATAACTGATTAACACCCAAATCTCACAGTTTGAAGTAGCAGTACCAAGGCGTTGACAAGTAATAGTAAGAGTAAGTAAGTTGCCCATAAGTGTAAATTGCAATGAATTTTATTCCAGACTATGGATTCTACTTTATCCCTGATTACATAACGCTTCATGGGTTTTACCTTAGTACAGTAATCCTTGCGTATCACTTGGATACATTCGATGGAACAACAATGCCACTTATTACAAATGGCTACATGTTATTCCCTCTCATCATGTGCTTGGTGCTCACCGTCATATACCACTTGGTTGATGTACATGGGATGACGAGACAAATGACTGATGTACATGGGATGACGAGACAAATGAAAAAGGAAGGATACGAACTTTTCAGAGTCACTGGGCAAACAAGGAGAGATATAGAGCATCTGTTTAAAAGCACATGGGATCCACAAGAAGCCGGATCTGGGCAAGATACGGGGGGTTTGAAATACTCTCGATATGTCATTACTGATATTGCAAAGTTACATAATCCTACATTGTATAGACGATATGTTGCAGGAAAGGATACATTAAAAAGAAAAAACAAAGACAAACCTCCTCTTAAACTTGAGCAACAACGACAAAACAGAGAGATATTGCCTGTAAACACGAGTACAGTTGGTTGCACCCATCTAGACTCCATTAGAGACAATGACAACAATGAATACTTTTTGTTCCATGGTACTGGCGATGCCACCAGTGTTGACGGAATTTGTAAAAAAGGATTCCTTTTGAGCAGAGCAAGTAAGCATTCTCTCTTTGGGAAGGCTGTATATCTGGCAGAACGTTCAGTCAAGTCAGATCAGTACTGTGGTAAGTCTACATTCATTAGCCTATGCATAACCATACATAACAGTATTACATGTATATTACCATTTGAAACGACGTTATAAAACAGGTGAGGTGAAATAAAAATATTGAATCACATTTTCGTTTTCCAAAATTACAATATCGAATTAAACTATTTTTCCACATTTAATTTTAGATGGAAAAAGCTACGAGAATCTTCATATGTTTGTTGTTCGTACATGTTTAGGACGCTCCTTTCTGAATGATGACTTTAACAAGTATACTGATCTTCCATGCACAAAAAGGGGATGTATGGTTGAAAACTGTAGAAATCATCCTGAAAAGTTTGACACTATCGTATCTGACCTTGGAGCCAGAATGAGATTTCGAGAGTTTTTGATATTTGACGAGACACATTGTTTTCCCGAATTTCTGATTGTATATGACAGAGTTGCAGACAGCTAGCCTTCTTGTATTAGTAATGACTATTGTTTGCAGAAGCGATGAACTTTATCACCTCCCCATGGACCACGCATGTTGAGAAGGATTACAGATTATAAGTGTGAAATTATTTTATTTATGTTTCAGTTAATTTCAATATCTCTTTTGTTTCAATTCATTTATATTCATTCATAGAATCGGACAGTTTATATCTGAATCAGCAACGCAAGTTGTCATTCAGTGCATAATGTGGAAACTTAGTACTGGAATATTCTTGGTGTGAAATTATTTCATTTAGATTAGGCCTAGTTAGGAAAATGATGGGTAAGTGAGTGTTGATTTAAATTAAGAGTCAAGTTCAATAAGATCGCGGCCGGCTGTTGAAAAACAGTATCTTATTCGTTCGAACCCCATACGAGTCTTTGATTCTGTAAATATTCATTTGTAGATACAACATTTTGTACATTATGTTCTATATATTTGGAGTTATATTATAAAACTTTATAAACTCAAACTCATTTGCTTTTGCTTTGGGCAAAGTGGTCATTCTGAAATAAGGTTAATTTTGTTTCCAGTGGATTTTCGAAAGTCCAAATAAAATCCCATGATATTCCGGCCCTAGCCACACTACCACATACTTGTTGTTAATAGTGGGGCTAAGTTCATTTCAGTGTATTTACCAACATTAATATGTTATTTTATAATTAAGTCAGCTTATGTAATAATTTGTTCATGAAATGTTTTGTTTTATTGATAACAGTAGAACTACTCAATTGTCTGATAGAACTTAAAACAGACTAAAATTGAGTAATATTCATGTCAACAATAGAGGTATTAAGACAGCCGATGTGGCAAAAAAAATTTTTTAAAAGAAAGGTCACAAACAAAGAGATATTTTAACTGTGTTGAAGAATTGAAACGCTTAAAAATGGCTTGTTTTCTAAAATTGCCTAGAATAGCGTTAACATGTAGTGCAACAAATCCATCGTTGTTTGCAATAGGCATTCATTTTAATTTACACTATGAGTGGTCAGAGCAGATGTATGCTGAATATACCAAGTATAAAAGGAACTTACTTGATTGTTACAGAGTGCTGCCTCGTAGTAGCTCCCAGGACATTTTGTGTTCTTTGGCCTTAAAGATAAAACAAGCAAAATTAAAAATACTTCGTCAAACAATATCCAAAAATATAGTGCTTTAGTCCCTGATCTGGACGCTCTGAAAAAAGTTTTGTTGTCCGGTACTTTCCCACATAAAATGATTGTACCGTTTGAAAGAATAGACTTCCCTCTTTAAGAAAACACCTCTTCTATTGATGTAAACAGAGGCAAAAGGCACCAAAACGGGGTTAGACAAGGTAGCATTCTGAAGTCTCACTTTCTTGTCATCACGATTCCAGGTAAACCATCAGACGGATTTACTTCAAATTTTCACACATGTTACATGGTAAGAAGTTCTAGAGCTGATTAACTTTGCGGCGGCCATTTTGCATTCTGGCAGCCATCTTGGAATTTTTTTCAGATAAATATTGTCATCGCGATTCCACAAAAACCACATAACAGATGTACTTCAAATGTTCACACATGTTACATGATAAAAAGTCCTAGACCTCATTATTTTTTCGGTGGCCATCTTGCATTCTGGCAGCCATCTTGGAAGTTTTAAGATAAATCTTGTCATCACGATTTCAGGAAATCCAAACGGATTTACTTCAAATTTCCACACATGTTACATGGTAAGAAAATATAGAGGTGAATAACTTTTTGGCAGCCATCTTGCATTCTGGTGGCCATCTTGGAAATTTTGGGATAAATCTTGTCATCGTGATTCCAGGAAAACAACCTAACAGATTAACTTCAAATTTACACACATGTTACAAGGTATGAAGTTCTAGAGCTGATTAACTTTTCAGTGGCCATCTTGCATTCTGACGGCCATTTTGGAAGGTTTATAGATAAATCTTGTAATCACGATTCCAGAAAAACCACTTCACAGTTTTACTTCGAATTTTCACACATGTTACATGGTATGAAGTTCTAGAGCTGACTAACTTTTCGGTGGCCATGTTGCATGCCGTCGGCCATCTTGGAAGTTTTTAGATAAATCTTGTCATCACGATTCCAAGAAAACCACGTAAGAGTTTTACTTCAAATTTTCACACATGTTACATGGTTGTAAGAAGTTATAGAGCTGATTAACTTTCCGATAGCCATCTTGCATTCTGGCGGCCATCTTGGAAGTTTGTAGATAAATATAAAATACAGTCAAAGCATTTACCACCAACAGAGGATGCTCTCATTCTCCATATAAATAGAGCCAACTATCAGGCCTATATTTGGCGAAACGCAGGCAAATCAATGATTGATTATCAATCCCCCACATTACATGGTTGGACATTCAAAGGGAATAAACTACAAATTAAGTGGATGGAAAACGGTCCTGCCCCACAAGAAATAATGGAGCTTGTTGCTTGTAGTTGTAAAGGAGCGTGTGACTCAATGAGATGTAGTTGTAAGAAACAGGATCTCATTTGTGGAAGTTCATGTAAGTGCCGCAAAGGTGTGTCTGAGAACTGTCCAACCCATCAGCACGATGATGTTGATGAGAGCGACAATGAATATGAACCAGTTGATGACACCATTACACCAAACGTTGAAGATCAGGAAGAAAATGAATTACCTGAAAATCTCTTACCTGACAACTGGATGAACCAACTTGTCAAAGTTGATGCCATAATATGAATTATCTCACCCTGTATATACACTGGTGATCCGCTCGATTACAGGTACGATTTGTCCTTATTCCTTATTTCATGCGTTGTAGGCAGAATCCTCTCGACGTTTTTTCTCACAAACGTGAATCAGTATCATATGTCTTAGAAAATGTACATGTTTGCGAAAAATAGCTCAGAAGACGACAGAATCGTCGATTTAATTCCTAACTTAAGTTACATAAAGGTTTGGGTTAAAAGTGCAGATCTGAACTGTTTTTTCGAATTACCGTTTATGTAACTTAAGTGAGGAATTAAATGTACGATTATGTTGTCTTCTGAACTATTTGTTTGCAAATATGCACATTTTCTTAAACATATGATACTGATACATGTTTGTGAGAAAAAATGTTGTGGGAATTCTGCCTACAAAGTGTGAAAGGAAAAAGGAAAAATCATACCTTCGATGTTCCCACATTTTGTTTCCGAAACAAACCATTTAGGTAACCAGCATAATCGAGTGGATCACTATAATATACTTTAGTAGTCTTTAATAATGTTAGGGAGGATGAGTTGTAAGGCATAATATGTCATGTTAGATCATGATCTATACTATTTTTATTACAATTTACCAGTTACACTTTCTCCATGCTAGGTTCTGTTATAACTTTTGTTCCGTTTCCTATGGCATCCGTGCTTTATACATTTACATTCACAATGGTCCCTTCCTGGTATATTTTTTTAGGTTTTATGACTGTTAAATTATATAGTCTAGTTAACACCACTTTATAAACAGGTTTATTATTACTGGTGTAACTAACACAACGAAAAAAATATAATTAATTTATTTGATTTTATATAACATGAAATTATTTTTTCTTTTTGATAAAACATTGCTTATTAGAAATATATTTAGTTGAAAACTTAGAGTAAACAATCAGTTCTTCTATCACAGTTTATTTTGGTTCAGTAGATTTTTCTATACATTATTTTTATGTCACCACCACTAGTGATTGGGTGACATATTGTAATAGCTTCGAACGTTTATCTTGACACTGTTCAGTAGTTAATGTGTACTGTATACTTAACAAGGTGTGGTGACATTTTGCATTTTTCTGCATCGTCACTACTATTGAAAGCTTATGTTGATATTGTAGCAGTGTTTTTTAAGTTCTTTTTGTTGGTACAATTAGTTTCCAAACCCTTACTTATATCGATCTGACACACAGTTTTAGTGCAGGTTTAAGTGATTTTTGTTGATTATTAAACGCAAAGAGCACATGTGTCTCAAACTCGCAACATTTTGGATACAGAGCCCATTCACATAGTTTGACATGCTGGTGCTCTCAACCAGCTCGTTAGTTAATATCTGACTAAGAGACAGCTTGCTTTCCCGATGAAGAAACGTTGTCTGCAGCTTTTATGAGTACTAGTATCTACAACTATTTTTGATCTGTTTATTCCCATATTAGATTATTGTCTTGGGATATTCAGGTTTGATTTTTGTTTGCCAGTTTTACACTTTACAGTTTGCTTTTCCCACTAGGTTGCTTTACACTTTTTCCTTTCTCATTTGTCATTTTTGTTTATATTTAGTAAGGATATGATACGCAGGTCTCTCCTTCTGTGTGATCACCTGTCCAGAAGATAATTCAACTGCATGAAGAACATTTCATTGACATGATGCACAGTGAAAGGTTTTCCACACATTTACATTTTCGTTTAAAAGAGCTTTAATTCCGTTATATACTCAGATCAAGGCCAATTTAGCATACATTTCGCTCTCAAAAACCACTGTACAATAATGGATTTCAAAGAAATGTTTGACGTTTTTAATAATCTTTTTCTTTTTGATGAAATGTAGTTATTTATTCTTAAAATCAATCGATGTCATACACAAAATGCATTTAAGTGGTATAAAGTACAGAAGCAGAGTAAAAATATGTATTTTAGAATATCACCATGTGTTACCCCATTGTAGCGCCTCTTGCCCATGTTTCTATCAATATAAAACATGATAGCATACACCAAATATGCATTTATGTCAAATTATGTGGTTTAAAATACAGAAAAATAGATAACATTCTCCTTAGAATACCACCTTGTGTAACCCCACTTTACTGCCTTTTGCCCCTGTTTATATCAATATAAAAGGTAGCATGTAACCTTCCTTGTAACATGTGTAAAAGTTTCAAAAAAATCAGTAAAGTGGTTTTCCTGGAATCACAATGACAAGATTTATCCAAAAAACTTCAAAGATGGCCGCCAGAATGCAAGATGGCCTACGAAAGGTTAATTAGCTCTAGAACTTCTTACCATGTAATATGTATGAAAATTTGAAGTAAATCCGTTTGGTTTTCCTGAAATCGTGATGACAAGATTTATCTTTAAACTTCCAAGATGGCTGCCAGAATGCAAGATGGCCACCGAAAAAATAATGAGGTCTACAACTTTTTACTATGTTACATGTGTGAACATTTGAAGTACATCTGTTATGTGGTTTTTGTGGAATCGCGATGACATCTAAAAAGTAATATACAAGTATTGTTAACTCACGCAGGAGAATCGCACGACCTTATTCTTTTTCTTACACCTCCTCCGCATGTGGAAGTACATTGAGTCCATGCACCCCACTGGCCCCAGGTACCCAGGACTACTTGGGGACGACCCAGGTTTTCCCACAATCTATCAGCATCTGTAGTCCAGTCCGTGCATCTCGTGTTCCGTCTACACCACTATTGAAAAATGAGATAGACGTGTATGTTTCTGCTCACTGTCCAAAATATACGTTTATTAATTGATTTTGCACAATAGAGATCTCAGATATAATATATTTCAAGTTTGGAGTAAAATATAGAATGGCGCTCACTTTGTTTTCATAGCAATACGTTCCTTCTACGTTCCCTACGCGGAAAGCTGTCCTAATATCATAGTTATCATAGTTGATACATTGTATGTGAGCATCACAGGTACCCTACAAGGAACGGGAAAGACCATTCTTAATATTGTATGCCATTAAAGTTATTGGTACATATTCATCTTATTAACTGCTTTGACCTTTTACAATACGATTTTTAAAGAATAATAGGATTTTACAATATTGTTGACATCTTACTAGTTGTGTCAACTTCTCAAAGGATTTTGAAATAATGAGAATTTTACAATATTATTGACACTATCGTATTGATCGCGCTGAGTTTTTACAATAAACATTTTCAGAGGATAACAGAATTTCGCATATACTGCGCTCTCTTTAAAGAAGCAAAGTCGAATTAACGGAAAGAGTAAATTTTGGACTCCTGGTTTTACACAAATGGTTTATAAAAAGTACATTTCATATTCTTAAACTTCTAACATATATTCTGTTGACTTGTGTGTGACCCAAGTCCCCTCGCCCCGTGGTTACAAAGTATTCTTACCCTACTTGTACCATATATGTATCCCTTATTGCCATCATCTTTCATGTACGTAAAACTGGAGCCAAAGTGTTTCTCACATTGCTTATTAATATCCAAACGTTGGCCTGGCAGTTCGTGTCCTTCTACCATATTAGGTAGTTGATAGTGCTCATATACGTTGTCATATACGCAAGCATTTGCACCTAATATCCTGTAAACATAGTTCTCGATACAACACTGACAATGATCGCCATTAAAATATTTTAAAAATCCATATACTATGTATCCATCAATATACTAGGGTAGTAGGGTTCTGTTACAAAGTTCCGAATGTGGCAGAGTTATTGATAAGTAAAATATACCTCATCCTATTGATGAAACTCTCCGCTCCACATGGGGAGTAGCCAGTAGATCCACCACTCATCATATATCCTCTTGGTGACGGCAATCGACAGTCGTCACGTCCAGTGTAGTCAACATCGTGCCTCATACCCATACTGTAAAGCACAAGTCACATTTGCTCTACGGCGACAGTACGTCGTTCGTAGTTCGTTGAAATCAGTAAATTTCTACGGTGCTCGTAGGAAAACTGCGACCGCCTTGTGGTCACCATGCGGCGAACCCAGGTTTTACAGGCCGTAGAAATTTTAACTTGCAGTAAGAGATGATCAGTGTAACATTTCATTGAAGCATCATGAGCAAGGTGTAATAAGGTAGACATTCCGGTAACGTAGAGTGGGTTGAAATGCGCCTGTTATACAGGGTGTCCAAAAAAAAACAGGACCGTAAGAAAGTTGAATAACTCGGTCAATTTTGCATATTTCGCCTTGAAATTTTAGAATTACTTAGTTCATTCAATGTGAATTTTGTTCCAAAAGTTTAATGATAATCTGTTCAGTGTGTCAAAAACTACAGTCCTTTTCAAAACATGCTCAAAGTGGGCACTTCTCCTCTCTATGCACAAACGAATTCTGCGAACAAAGTTGTTAATGACCCTGACCTATACACATTAATGTGGATGGTAAATATTGGGGTAGTTATTGCCCTCTTAAGATTGTTAGGGGCCTGTCAGTATACTCATTGGCTTTGAGAAATCCTCAAAGATAAAATTTGGGGGATTTAGATCAGGCGAATGAGGTGCCCTTGCCCATATGGTTTGCGTTCTGCTGATGAGCTGATGAGCTGACCACCAAAGCATTGCCTAAACCATTTCAGCATATCATTTGCAGTGTGGGGGTGGTATTGGCTTGTTGAAACCACTGCTTAATTATCTCCTTAGATGTCCCTTCTGGTGCTTAGTGACCTCCAAAACTAGGTGAGAACTTACTGGTCCTTGTTCATGGTGATAGCACGTCCACAGTCACCTTCGAACCAAAAGGGACTGATGATTCCATGTTTCCTCATTGCCACCCAGGCAGTGCATTGTTCAGAATGCAATGGATGCTGTAACACTTCATCAGGAGGATGTAAGCTCCAGTAGCAATTGTTCTTTGAACAAACTTGTCCATTCAGAAAGACATGTGTGTAGGAGGATCATCAACAACTTTGTTCGCCGGATTGAATTGAGCATAGAGATGAGAGGTGCACATTTGAGGCATGTTTTGTAAGGAGCTGTAGTTTTTGACTCAATTGATAGATTATTATCAAACTTTCACAACAAAATGCACATTGAATGAACTAAATAATTCTGAAATTTCAAGGCAAAATATGTAAAATTGACCGAGTTATTCAACTTTCTTACGGTCCTGTTTTTTTTGGACACCCTGTACTACTGTTATATATTAGGACTGTCTTGTCACGGATGAAAAGATGAATGAAGTCAAAAATTATACAGACATTATTTGCAAGATGTTCACAGAACCATATTCCTCAGTTTAATTGGAGTAGTTTTTGTTTATAAAAAAGAAGAAATGACTTAAGTGTCTCCATATGCTTACGTATGTCCCAGTTCATGAGCGACACATATGAGTCCACTGAAATGCGCATTTGCCTGGCATATAGAAGCAGTGTTTCTATTGTGACACAAACCGTTTACCCACGCCCAACCAACTGCTCCGCAAACGTTCCTGAATTAAAGTAAAACGTGTCTGGTTTAAAGGAAAATCGTTGTTCCCAATACAATAAAAAGAGGTGCATTGCATCACAGTCATCGTCACGTACCGAATTTATGTGCAGTTCCGCTTTGTTATTTGAAAGGTTGGTCATGTTCATGCCAGACTATTGTAAAATGTACCAAAACGTTTCGCCATACATTAACTCACTTTACGACAAAATGTGCCACGTCCCATGCTCTTCTCTCGGGATGGGAAGCCTGATAACTAGCAGTGTTCCCCAAGGATTGGCAATCAGTCCGATTGTCACCATACCACTCTAACTGCAATATAAGTAGTCCACATCAAAATTTTACATCTGCAGTATAAAATATTGTGACGTGTCGCAAAAAGCTCGCGCACGCATTGTTACACATTTTGTGGCGTAATCCAGATAAGAGGATCCCCGCTTTTAACATGATAGAATGAGACGTTTTTGAGAAAAATGTACACACATGAAAATCCTTTCGACCTCCACATTTACCTCTATATCTCAAAACATTTTAGACGAATAACTCTGATATCATATATATATTGTTAATGGGCTAGGAGCATCATAAAACACGAATCAATTGATATTTTAGGTGAAATAAATATACGTGTTGCTGTGCTTGAAAATAGGCGAATGGCGTAAACTAGCCCTATTTTAATGAATTTTGAAAACCTTTCGTCCTCCACTTTTCCACATACAACAGAAATCACATACTTTTGTGAACAAAATCAACTATTTATTAATAAACTAGAGTTTAGGAGCAAAATAATCATGTATGATTTATTAAAAATTGATCTCGTATTTTTTGTTTAATGTACACCTGAAAAGTTGAAGGTACCAAAAAATGAGCAAAAAAGGTCGCTGTCAACAGATTCTATTTTTCAGACTCTATGACGTCACAATATGGGACGCTTACTAAAATTCGTCGTTTGAAATAAAACTACCTTTATCAAGACGAAAAATAAGTATAATAGTCATATATTGTTTGAGTTATGAGCGTTTAAAGACGAAAAATAATTCAAAATGTAACGTGTCAACATGGGATATTTGCCAGATGTTTTGGTAAAAAACTCTTTTTTAAAAACGAACGCGCAAAAAATGTGAACGGAGTGTAGTTGATCTAAAATCTTCATCGAAACAGCTTTAAAATGATATATAACTTTAATTAGAATATTATCTTATAATCCGGGGAATCAAAGTTACATTCACGCGATACCCTTAAAAAACAAATGCGCCACCTTTTTGCGACACGTCTGTACGTTGCCAACAAATCACCGGACATTTTATAAAACGTCGGTCATTGAAAAGGAATCTATGAGCCATTTATGTATTCATCTGGGTTTAACGAATAAATGAGATGGGTTGAAGGCACTCACCGGTGTCTGTTCATAAAAGAATACTCGCGTAAGAGTGGTGCTGATTGGACGAACAAGTTTGTAGTCATGAAGCAGAGCACCTATCTGGAAAAGTCAAAAATCAGATGATAAGTCTACAATACTACTACTACAAGCTGTAAATATGTTACATTGATTTTGATAAAAAATACAGGGTGTCAAATAAGTCCCGCCCCCCTCTACAGCCAAAACCAAGATATTTGGTACCAAGTGTGATATATCATTGGAAAGGTCGTCCAAAGTTACGTTGATTGGCATATATCTGACACATGTCAATCAATCTCAGAAACTTTTACATTGTATCAATTGAGGTGACCATATGCCTAGAAACATGGCAATTTGGCGTATTTGGCACGATTTTAAGAATCGTATATAAGAAAGGTCACAGGACCAAAATATGACTAAATATGTTTATGGCGATGAATTTAACCTATTTATGGATAGGGTTAGATGTGTAGAAAATAGAGGTGCAAGGAAAGTGGTGAAAACCTTTTTGTAACAAGTGGAATGTGAAAAAGATTAACTTTTTGATGTATTTCTGAGGTCATATCCTTGTCATTTTGAAGCAAAAAAGCTACTTAAAGGAGGGCACGTTAATTTTAAAAGACATCATAAAAATATAGGTAAATTTCATCCAAAATACTTGAGAGTTGGTGAGTTAACATAACTTTGGATGATCTTTCCAATGGTATATCACACTAGGTACCTTCTGTTAAGGTTTTAACTGTAGCAGGGGGGACGGGACTCATTTGACACCCTGTAAATAGAAAAGTCAGAGGAGTTGGCGTCTTTTTTTCAATTCTAACGAATTACACATTTTTAGCTTTAGATATTCACTAATCGTTGCTTTTGATCAATTTTGTTTGCATTATTTCTAAATATTTCTTCCAACGTGTCATACTCTGCTATTCTTTGCATTTACTTCAATGAAGGGTGAAGTTAGACAAGAAACCGACTGTGACAATATGGCAAATTGAGCCTGAGGCCCAGGAATGCGTTAAAAATGTTCAAAAAGTCCCCTAGTGTACTGAGTTAATGACAGTATTCCCGGGCCTCAGAATTGAACATTAATAAGCGTGAAGGCAACAATACCCCATTAATAAAGATGACGATGTAGCTTGTCATAGCGTCAAGGTCTCCATTGTATACTCGTGATATTTCTGCAGTTAGGTTTCCACCAATAAACATGCTTGTCTCAAAATTTGCAGGTCTTTCCTCTAGTGATTCAGCCCCTGTTTATGGATTTATACAGTTTGAGAAATATATTACACTGTGGCGTATAGTACGACATCAAAGAAATAAATGGTGGTATAAAGTGAATGACAGGCTCAGCCATGCCATATTCTAAACCTGACCTGCTTCGCAGATATAGTAATAATCTGGTGTTGTTGAATGGCAATAGTCCACTTCCAAATTAAACGTATCATCCAGCCCATCGTTGATTATAACACATTTTTGTTCTCTGTCATTTACATCTCCCACCAACTGATCCTGGATGTGTGCCGGCTGAAACATCATCAACAGATAACAGATAATCATCACTGATTTTATTTGTGGACTGTTGATGTGCATCAATCATTCTGGACCACATGTTAACCTATACAAATGTCAGCTAGATCTAACACATAGTGCTATGAATTGACACATATTATCTACATATGGTATATGACGTTAATATACCTTATACCAAGACCCGATGTCCCATGCCCATTGTCTTGGTTCATACACGCCAACTTCCAATCCACTGGTCAACCAATTTGACTCTCCCACTACAGCTTCGTCCTCAATCAGTCCCTGAACAAATGCATACTCACCGTCTGTGTCAAGACTAACCAGCCTAGCTCCCAGATCTGCGCACGCACTTTTGGCTAGCACGTGACCATTGACATTCTGGCCAGAGCTAACCCAATAACAATGGTTGTCATAGAATTCCCCACCTCTGCTCTCACAATCTATTAAAACGTTAAATATTACAAGTGCTACGTCGTCCACATCTAACGATGCTTTAAACTTTAATTTGCGCAATCAATTTCAACAACAGTAGATAACCTGATACAATATTTACCCAACACTGTCACGTTCGCAACACCTGGCGTATCATCTCTACAATATGGTATACCACAGAATCTCCATCGCACGTTAGGGTCTGTTGTGTAGCACCAAGGACCTCCTCCCTCGCCATCTGGGTTTCTGGACGGATTAAAAGTCATTCGTGAAAATTATGAAGAAAATGACAGTGAAAGTGATGTACACATTCATACAGATTCCTTGACTAAAAAATGACAATGTATTTAGGAGAAAGCAATACGAGGACATAAAATCCCGGCATAAAATGCACTCTATTCAAAGTGGCAATGGGAGTATTTGTTATTTGCTAGGAATATGATGTTCTCTAGACTTGGTTCATTGAATGACATTTACCTGTAAATCATTATGTTCATTATAAGGTCTTTGGTGATCCAATTATAAGCATGCCTTAAAAATGTTAGTATCTACCTGCAATAATTAGCTGCATCTGCCAAGGTGGCATCAGGAAAGTCGTCAGGATTTGTTCTAGTATGACTGTGAGGTGTTTGACTGTCCCAGCGCTGACATGTTATACCAGTCATAGTTGTACTCCTCGTACCAATATACTCTCGACCCATACGAGTTGCCTTACATTGCGTAGCTGAAATTGACAGATACCAATGAAGTCAGTGCAGCAGAAATGTACACTCGGTGAGAATGAACTTCTCTTGGAGACGTATGCACAAAGGAATTCCCCCTCTTCTTCCGATTTTTGATATATAATGATGAACAAAGAATACCTACTTAGCCTAGACAAATTCCATATATCTTTAAATACGCGTACTGTAGTACCTGTTTTACACTCGACGACATAGTATATGTACCACTCTTGGCCAGGGTTTCCATTGGTAGATGTTCCACTGACGGGCTCCGGACTAAGTCTACATTCTCTCGTCTGTAAGTTATAATCACACGATTTACAAGTAAACGTTGTCTCCTGAAGGCAGGCAGTTTTACATCCTTCCTGTGTGAGATCTTGTACCGTCTTCTGAGGCGTTCCAGGCATTGCTGTTCCAGGGAACCGATTGAATACCCTTTGCAGACACTCTTATTAAAAATAAAAACAGTACTTTGCAGAACAAAGATATTTAATTAAAAATGGTAAAGGGGTATATGAAAACGATGAAATCAAGGTAAAATGACACTCTATTGCACTGATCTCGTACATTGTCGTATGACACATGATACAATTTAAATAGTCAGTTACCACTCAGACTCAAACAAATTCTACCTTCAGCTTGATACAGCATGCCTTCTTCGCTATCATCTGCTATAAGGTAGTCCACTTGAGATTCTAGCGGTTTTTGCTTCTCAATAGTTTCTTGGAGCAGTTCGTCTTTCACTTCGTACATGACATGATCACCATAATTTTCAACTTGATGGTCACGGGATGGCATGATTGCTCTAATCGTTTCTCCACTCTTTATAAGCCCGATCTGGAAATAAATAAATGACAATTGAAAAATAAACTTATTGATGCAAACCATGAAACATTTGATAGTGAAAACAATTTTTAATAGAAAGAATACTTCAGCAGCCTAAACGTGTATTGGAAGAAACGATGCAACACTACCATTTTGCCAATACAAACTGTGGCTATCACAGGACCACTGTATTGCTCCCCTTTAATCACAGATATAGTTTCGCCACTGTATACACAATCAGGGTCAAATGTTATGCGCTGCTCATGCCCATCTTTGGTCGTATAAACGGACTGGAATTCCGATCCTGCTAGTACCCTGGCATCTCTTTTGAGTCTCACTACATGAGTATCACGATCGGCCTGAAGTACAACCAGACGGACATCAAGATCATTGAACCAAACATATATAAGTTCTATTTCATCGTTTTGATGTGGAATACCATTATGATCATAGACTTTTAGTCAATCAATCAATAAGACTTAACCTGTATTGTCAAGTGGACGTGTTCTGCGGAATCATCAGTCCCAATGCCCCTTCTCATCCTGTGTAAATCCACCAGACTCTCACCTGTGTTCGTTCCACTAGCATCGTGTATGGTAATGCTCACTCTAACATGGTCGGCAGGAGTATCAAAATCACATAACACGGAGGGAACCTTTTAAAAATTGATTGAGAATATATGATGGATACGCGTTTTCGAAACAGTGATTTGGTCGATTATGGACATCATATTTGACTGAACAATATGAATAGATGTACAGACGCGTTCTCAATGTTTCCCATTTCGTTTTATCATTAGAATGTCTTCCTTATAAAGGACACCCTAAACCAAACATAATACTGTACAGTAAAGAATATCAATAGCAATGTAAACTTTAGAAATGAGGACAATGTACAACTTACCGTCTGGCCATAAAACAACACAGCAAACACAAGTGAAATATAAACACTCTCCATTTGGTGGGAAACAAACCAGTTATGTTGCTATTTAAAACTGGTCATATTCATTATCAAAACATGTTGGTATCAGTAGTCATTAATTCAAATTGATAAAAAATCATATCAAACATAGGTAAGGAACCCATACCCCTTTTCCATATGAATACATCGAAATGGTAGTGAGATGGAGAGAATGATTTCCGAACACAAAGAGCAATGGTAACAGAAAAAAGAACAATCTGTGGTAGACTATTGTAAGCTACATGTACTAAAATGAATATCCTTCCATTTTATTTAGCCATGAAACAGTAAGTTAAACCGTAAGCGGGTAGTTGAATTTGGGAATGCTATCTAAGACCAACATAAACAAAAAGAAATAGAACCAATATGAAACGTATACCTAAACTAGATGTAGATTTTGTTCCGTTTGTAAATTATATGGCCTTAGGAAACAGCATTATTTGTCACATTTAGCATTAACTGCCTGTATAAGTCAAGTGGTGAAGTAAATGCTTTGAAACTCTATCATACTACATGTATGTAAATAGTGTTCGTGTTGAGACACTAGTTTTATGATATATACAGATATAACAGACATGTGGCCAAAACTAACAGATTCCTATGCAGCAAGAGCCTCGTCGACAGCGAAAATATCAAGTTTTCTGACCTTTTGGATGCTAATATACATTGGTGCTATTCTGGGTATTGTAACTTACTTCAAATACAGCTCATCGAGACGAACTTATAACGAGCAAACGGTTCGAACCAATGAAGAAACATTGAGGGATTATTTAAACAACGAAATTACGTGGCATAATGATATGGACACGTCATTAATTCAACATGATATCAAAGAAATTAATAAACAAGGGAGCTTCAATATAAACGAGGACGCACTTATTTTCTTTCATATACCAAAAACAGGAGGTACCATATTTGGCTGGAACTTGGTTAAATCATTGCAGCTGATAATCCCGTGTGAATGTGATGTTCAGAAGGAATGGGGCTGTTGTAAATGTAAAAATAAAAATGGTGAAAATTGGATGTTCTCACCTGTTACACATGCATGGCCATGTGGAGTTCATCCACAGTGGTTAGACCATGCTTCATGCATGAAAGACATTGTCAAGAAAGAGACGGGGGTTCCCAAGACTCTTTATCATATAACGATGCTGAGGGATCCCATTGACAGATATATCAGTGAATGGAGAATGCAGAGGATGTGCACGCATGATTGGTTGAATGGAACAACAGTAGACCCAATAACGTTAGATGAATTTATTAGGTGTCCTGATAGTTCAGCTATAAACCGTCAAACCAGAATGTTAGCTGATATTGACCAATCACTTGTAAAGGAAATGGATGATGCGTACATACTGGAAAGAGCAAAAGACACTCTGAACAAAATGGCGTTCTTTGGCATTTTAGAATATCAACTATACACTCAAATATTATTTGAAAATACATTTAGAATAAAATTCAAACACTCTTTAGTACAACTGGATGCATACCAAATGAATTTATTACCTCAACAGGAAGACGAAATCATTAAACAAAACAGTTTAGATATTGAGCTATATCAATATGCTAAAGATCTCATGTTTAGAAAAGTATTTGCATCATTTGGAGTAGAGGGACCATTGTACAAAGATGAAGATCTAGATCATCTAAAAATGTTGATACACAACAAAAAGTGATCACGCACTACACTGTATATAAATATAAATATGTATAGTACAAATTTCAGCGATGACAGTCTGTCTGTTTGATGATCACAGCAGACATAAATATACTAAATGTGAATGTGTGTTAAAATATTTTTCATTATGAAAATACATCAGTCTAATTGTAGCAGTCTGTCGAGTTCTAAACGTTTAATGATCTCTGGCCCATATGCTATATTGTACGCAGAAGTCATCAATGTTGACTCTGCCAAGATAATCTTTCTCCATAACTTCCATTATATTAAGTGCTGCTTCAACATCAAAGGTGAACGATGGAAAGATGTCTAGATGAGCCCCAATTTCGACTATTTCTTCTGGTGTCGCATATCCCTCATCACCACCGATGCCTGCGTTTCTAAAGGCATGCCTCAACGCCGCACCTCTGGAAAAGAATCAAGTTTTGGTGTTCTAGTTTTATTTTCAGAATTTCGACACGTGACATTGGTCAATCATGTCTACTAATCATTTATAGTTTGGCAATAAATACCATTAGTTTACGACTAAGCTCTAGAAGGCTACTAGGAATAAAAAGGTTTGTCCGGGCACTTAAGATAATGTGTACAATCACACTGTAATGAGTGGGCTAGAGATAAAATATCATATATGCTTTTGTGTAAATAATCAAATACATATGAAACTAGGTTAAATATAAATCTACTTCAACAAAAATAATTATTTAATTTGATGTGTAAATGTGTAACTATTTTTAATGATGACGACTGGGTGAAATTAAATTTCAACCAATTAAGTATGCACAAATGGCAACAATGCGAAAATGCAAAAATAGGATCACTCCATGCAGTAACCAAGAAAATCTAGCATCATTTACACACAAAAAGCGTCTGTATTTGTGAAAAACTATATTTACACATGGTCCAACGCCTCAGACGCCTCCATGATGCTTAGAAAGTCATCCAAGGTTATTTCAGATCCAGGTCCATAGCCACCGTTGTTCAGAAGATCCTGAAAATATAGAAACTCTCTATTCGACAAAATTGTCCAAATAATATGACTCCGTACAATTTAAAATGTGTGCAATTTGAAACCCAAAATGCGTCCAAATCATTTGAATTTGGAACCTCAACTTCCGTATGATTTTCCGGACAAATGATAATGGTACATGAAACTGGGTCTCCATTTCAAAAGTCGGACGTTATATAACATGTGAAAGTATAAACTTACCAGGACTTCTAGTTCATTGTATCCATGCAGTATGAGCATATCCCGAATTTCCTCGTATGTCATATAATCTAAACCATCAGAAATCTGGAAAGACAACGGTCATGATTAAGGTCTCAAACTAATTCTATAGATGAACGGATTCGGAATTGTCAAATTCCAAATTGAAGTAAACATATATTTTCAAATCAGACGGTGCACTTTGATTCTTAGTAATATCTCCTAAAAATAAAACTCGAGTCTTAGGGATGAAATTAGTGAGATCAGTTGGAACCACCATAACAACAGATTCTACAGAAGAAAATTTTACTAGGTCAAAGGTTATTTAAAGCACCTCCCAATTCCTAATTCTAAACAAAATTATTTTCAGCGATTTAAGAATAGAGCAAATGTTTGTAAAACTTACACTTTCCAGCCACCAAGCACGGTAAAGGTCTTCATCAGGATACCACGACATGATCTCTTGTAATTCTTCCAAATAAATAAAGCTTTAACCCGAAGCTACAGTTTTGTATTCTCTTCTTGTCTACGCGGTAATGTAATGGTAGAAACTTCGGTACCAACCAAGAGGTATATTTCAGCGGAGATAACTACCCAGAGTTCAACTGACTCTTTTAAATATACACTTTTGAGTATTACACCAAGGACGCTTGACTTTACTTGGATACATTGACATATTTTTGATGATGGGAATAAAATACTCCTACTCAAACTTTAGACCGCTTGGTTTTTGGTACAAAAATGGATATGGTTTAACAAATTAGTAATTTAAGCACTAGGGCGCTGCCACGTCGATGTACCGTTTATCAAACTTCTATTTATTTATTAAAATTAATTGATTCAGACTATGATAAAGCAATGATTCTATAACATGGTGATTGGCGGAGATTTACCGGGTGATGAAGTCACAATTTATTTGATTGGTCCCTAGTTTGTTCATACGTAGTACATCTAAAAGCAATGCATTACATGCAGAAAATATAACAAACTTTTGGATTGAACAATATTTTAAATATAATAGTAATTTGTTTTTCATCTCGCGTTTCATATAAATTATTTAATAAGGTCTTCGGATATTTCATCTAAATGAATCATGAGATGATTATCCCTATTAGACCTAAACCTTAAATAACTTGTAAACAACGTCTATATTTTAAGATAAACAAATGCAAAAAAAGATAAGACATAATTTTATGGTGATGCATTGAAAAGGTTATCCTTTAAGATTACATTATATCTTATTCATATCCAAGCACTTAAACAGTGAGGTAATATAACATATATTGCCCATTAATTCAGCATAAACATCAACCTTTGTAAATTTAACACACATGTTAATTAATATTAATAAAATAAAATGTCCAAAGTTTACTACTGTTGATAAAAATATCGACTGATAAATACATGTACATGATTCACGTGTCCTTTTTACTTATTGATAAAGGTTTCATATATTTTAGATATTGACTAGAATTTTCTAAACCAGATTGTAAAATAAACATTTAAAGTAGCAATCAAAACGTTAAGTATTTCAACATATATCTTATTTGGATTCATTTCAACTTCATCGAGAGGTAAAAATGGCGGGACTCTCAGAGGAGGAAATTACAGCATGGTTTCTTGAAAAGGTAATACAGTATACACAATACAGTCATAATACTACGACCATATTTATCATACACCTTGTAGTATAATCCATCTTTATTAAAACAAGTGAAATAAAATGACGATTTTAATTATTCAAATTGAAAACATTTGAAGTATTATTTTAAAAATGTATAAAAAGTCTGCTGAATCAAATGCGACATTCTAAGACGAGGTATTGTGAATAGTACTTAGGTAAAAAGTGTTTTTCAAGAGTGATAATTAAACCTACCCAGAGTGTGATCGAGTGGAATAAAAATGGAGCACAGATACAGGGTGTGCAAAGGGTAGAGTAACATTACTGAGCTAGCTGTGTGCATTGCTTCATTGTAGGTTGCTCTAGGTGACGACACAGCGACCAAAGCAGACCTCACAGAGCTTCTTCTCTCCAACAACTACAGTGAAGCAGAAATAGAAGTAATGTTCAATATGACAGGGGTGGATGATTCAACTCAGATGGGACTAGGGGACATACTGAAATGGGTGATAGGAATCAAACTCTTTGATGGAATGTAGGTATAATGGTCACGTTTCAAGTCTTAACGCTCTTTTTTACTGATGAGTCAATTCGAATGGCGCCTTCATGGAAGCTTTACAAATAATCAAATTTTAAACAATTTCTATTTAAACAACTTTGGGAAAATAGAGAGCAATGGAAACTGGCAGAAATTATAATATCTTAAAACAGTATTAAATACTTCATACTCAAAATAACTTAAACAAAACAAACCTGGGAATAATTGATAAATTCTACAAGTCCATGCCAAAGCATGCGTCTTCACTGCGCCACAGATTACTTTACAAAACCAATGCTTAATACATGTACATATATGATGTCTTTCAGGAGTAAACTTGGTTTAGAAGAATCTGCCCCTCCCGCAGCTGCCCCTCCTGCAGCTGCTCCCCCTGCAGATGCTCCTCCCGCAGCTGCTCCTCCTGCAGGCGAAAAATCTTCCGGAGGGGCTCCACCAGGACCAGCTGTATGTCCTCCCGCAGCTGAACCTCCAGTTCCAAAGCCAACACCTGCGCCACCTGTCGAATCTACCCCTCCCGCAACTGCTCCTCCCGAGGCCACTCCTCCTGCTGCGAAGGCTCCGGCAGCTGCACCTCCTGCAAAATCTCCACCAGCACCGGGTGGTGTAGGGTCACGTGCGAACATGACACCGGGAGAGGTGATCAATCTGGGACTGCAGATATCGGCAGAGTTTAACACTGACGCTGCACTGGCCGTCATGGACCAGATGCAACTAGACGCTGATGGCAAGATTAACGTGGATGAATTCATTAAAGCATATCTACAAGCTGCTCCATAATTGACTGAATTTGTTTCATATCAAAGATACAATATCATGATCTCTTGATTACTTTGCATCTAGCATTTTTAGTTTATTCAAACTAGCAATAATAATCCGGGAATAAAATAAAGTTAGTGGTAGTATCATCATGACGTTTCATCAAAAGCAGAATCTACATATAGGTGTCTCAGAGACATGAACTGTTCATCCTATATTATGTTCCACCAGACTATCACTAGTACTTTTGTTACTCTATTACATAGTTCGGATGGATTAACTGATTAACATAATAAAATCGACAAACATAACAAACACATGATTCAAAGGGAACTTTAATTGCTGTTGCAAAACTTTTGGTGGGGAGTGTGCGTCCAACTTAACACGCATTGTCTCTTAGTTTGTCCATTCATTACATTAGGGTCAACCCATCACTGCATCTTCAACATTGGACGCACTCTTGTGAAAGGAATGTAAATCGAATGTCATTTTGATTTAATAAATGGTTCTATTTCTTTTATACTTTATCTTTGTGTGCAAAGTACTACGAACAATGATATGATAATACACTTGTGCACATACACCACGTACACATGGCCATACACTATTTGACATAACAATTATACCATGGTAGCCTTATCAATAAAATATCCTTCACTGCAAATTAAAGATGTCAGTAACGTATCGGCATATTTGTCCTTCTATAACACACTTTTTAAACACCAGGGCTTAACATTATTTACAGTTTTCAACATTCTAGAAATTATCAGTTTGAAAATTCGATATCCATTAGTCCGTAAAAAAATATCCATAGTATTCAAATTCCATTGGCCCATAAGTCCAGTAATTAAGGCACTAACATTCAGTACTAGCCTATTCACATGCCAAGGGGAATATTCAAAATAATTTTGCCATATTTTGTTATACATTAATAAACAATGTTGTTTTTCAACTTTTTGGAAGAGCCTGTCTACAGCATGCGGTAGTCAATATCCTACTCTTATATACAGGGTGAGTCAGCATGAGTTTAGTGTCATATCTGGCACAATTAAACCTTGTTCAAATGTTCTTTCTTTCTACCAAATTTCGTTGGTCTTTTTCTAAAGGTCGTGATTCTATGGCCATTTTACAAAACATGCTATAAAATAAGATGTCATGTCAGGAGGCTAACTTGAACATATTTGGCATAGTTGTTCACAACACAAGCCCAGACATCTTGTGTTAAAGCTCTAATCTTCTTTTTTATCTCTTGTTTCAATGTTTCAAGGGATGTTAGTGTAGATTAGCCCCAGAGATAAAATTCTGGTGGGATTTATGTCTGGTGAATATGGCACGTTTCGGCATTTGGAACATGTTTTGTAAATGGCCATAAAATCATGACCATTGGATATAGACCAATAGAACTTTGTAGAAAGAAGGCATATTGAACAAGATTTAGCTGTGCCAACATACATTTTTGGGTAATCTTCTTTTGGCTCACCCTGTAGTACAATGACTCAATCTGAAACAAACTCTTGCAACTCAAAACTCCAATTCAAAATCCATCACATAACTCATTATAATATTGAGATTGTATTTTACTGCACTGTATGGTATTGTTCTGATGTAGATTAAATAGTCTGTATCTGCTACAGTTTTGATGTTGGTTTGTCAATATTAAACTTTCCTCCCTTCCCGGCCCCTGTTACAAACCTGCCTGCCCCTGCAATCAACAGAAAGTGCACTGAATCAGTTTTAGGCTTTGAACCTCATTCAACTTCATTGATATGCATGGGCCTTTATATGTTTTCTGTGGCTGTACACCAAACTGCTACACATTAAACGGTTATTTCTAATAAATTGTTGCTATAATGCTATTAATATTTAATATTTTTTATACTATGAATTAGAATTGTTTTATTGATATGATCATTTGATAACTAGACTTTAGGGGCTTTCCTGTTGCATGTTAAGGGGGGGGGGGGGGTAAATATCTAAAATAAAATTTACCTTAACCTACAAGATGTGCTAGATGAAAATGTTGATGTGGACAGGATTTGTGCGATCAACATTTTTATATAAAGACATCAGTATATCAGTTTTTCAATTATTCAAACATATCAAAGGTGATAAGGTAAATGTGGACTCACCCTGAACAGATTCCAAATTGATCACATGTTTAGCATTGTCCAATTCATAGCACATTGCATCTGTATGTGAGGGGGCGTCATAAGTGGCATGATAGGCAGACTTGCGGTCTCTGAGCATACACTCTTGTGGAAAGTTAGAAATAGTTTGAGCAATCTTTACTGCTTCGCCTACAGCTAAAAAGAGAATGAATTTTTTCTACATAAAGCTTGTTTATGGACAAACCTAGTTATGACATGTGGATGGCAATACTGCATCCTAACTTTTCAGAAAAATTATTTTAGACATTTTCACCTGAAACCATAAAATTAAATCCCATACATGTAGTTTCCTTGCTTCATTAAATTTCCCTTGTTCTTGGATCCTCAGTATGCACCTGTTGTTTTTATCTGTGACCATACATTCATAAAACATTAAAATACTCAACCTAATTGATTGAAAATACATGTATAATCTATAGTTTTTTACCTGTTCCTATTGGGACAACCCTATTAGCAAGCCCCATTTGCAGTGCTTCATTAGCTGACACACCTCGTCCTGTCAGGATCATATCCATTGCTCTAGAAAGACCAATCAAAGCTGGCAGTCTCACTGTTCCTCCATCTATCAATGGAACTCCTAAACAAAGCAAGAATATGATAGTACTATAGATTGACCTAATCTATAACATTTATATTTAAATGCTATTTTGACTTTGAATGACTTCAGTGATTTTTAACTCAAATGGTGAACTTATGGAATCAACCACTTGTTTTCTATATCACCCTTAATTTAATAAGGAATTTAGATCTTGTTTCATGGTAATTGGCAAATGACAATCATGTGACATACATGTAATCTTATATATGTATCAAGCTCTAGTGTACCCTTTTCTCATGAACATACAAACATTTTTCACATAGGGCAACATGGGATTGATGTAAGACTAATGTCATACATTTACTACAGACAGGTGACTTTCCTTACCAAACCTCCTGCAGAAAACTCCCATGATGGCTGTTTCCTCCACAATTCTCATGTCACACATCAGTGAAAGTTCAAGACCTCCAGCAACAGCATAGCCAGATACAGCAGCAATTACTGGTTTATTGAACACCATCTTGGAGGGGCCCTGGAGTTAGATTTATATCAGAATGGAGATTCATAATGTCATCCTCCAAAAGCAGGAGTTCAGATACCATCCAGTATGAAGGAAGGCAATCTGTGGATGATGTATATAGCCCTATGTTCAGATGATCAACACAAGGCAGCTCTAACACATTTACAATACTCAAAAAATGGTGTATACTGTACATGTTCACATACCATAGGTCCTAGTCCGTCATTGGGATCTGGGAAATTCTCAGGAGACACCCCACCTTCTGACAGCTGTGACAAATCAAATCCAGCACAAAAGTTGCCACCTGCAAATAATATTATTTCAAATATACATGTACTGTACACGTTTGTATAGGAAACATACCTGTAGTGGTACATTTGTATTTGAATGATAATTAGATAAAGAAATCTTGATATTATTCAGCATCCCTTCATCTTGTTTCAATATATGGACTGAATCAAAAACGTCTAAGTATATATACATTACATGTTCCATACTCGAAAATGAAGTACATGTAGACCACAGTGCAATATAAATGTACGCTTTATAATGTACACCCTGTATATACAATATACAGAGCATTTGATTAATAGGGGAACATAACTGCACTCATGCCAACTATTCAATAGTCTAGCTACAAGTGGTCACAGAGGCTTGTAGCTACAGTGTACAGTAGACTAACTAGATTGGATACTTACCTTTCCCATGCAGAACTGCCACTCTTAATGAATCATCATTCTCAAATGTCCTAAAAGCCTGTACTAATTGGGCAGCTGTTTGAGAATTAACACAGTTTCTTTTCTCTGGTCTGTTAATGCCTATCAGGAATATCTTACCAACTTTATCTGTGACAACTAAATCTGAAATGAATAGCCAATTTTAAACGGTTAAAAGGTAGTTCAGTTATACACGTGTAAGTCATGTATATCCATACAATATTACATGTACAATGTACAGCACATACTTATACATGTACCTGTAGATTGTACATGTACATACATGTATTGTATATTATAAATGTACAAAACATGACATACATGTACATGTACAAGCCCGGCATACAAGTCTACCCAATGTACATGTTGATGTTTACACAGCCGAATATTGTTGACATATGTGTAAAAATGGACAGCTAATAATACCTAACGAATGTGACATTGCGATTTTCGTTATCCTGTTTATGTTTTATTCACAAAATAACATTCAAAAGGAACTTTGAATTTTGGACTTTCAATGAATGCAGATGAACACTCATCAACTCTACAAAAGGTATTTATAAAATCATTCTCACTGAAGATTTACTGGTGAATGGGTTAATTTTACAATAGTTAATTGTAGCCTACCTGTTGAACTACCAGATAACAACCTATATTGAACAAGCCTTGACTTAAGACACGTGTTTGGAGCGATTATTCTTTGAATAACCCGATGGTGTTTCAAAACACCCGCCATTTTAATATTGCATGATGGGTACACGGGAATTCCAATAAATTCTCCTTTTGAACTATTCTATCTCGTCATAAACAAATACTGGATATTTATTTGTTATAATATAAAATAGAGGTATTATTATATGACCCTATTTACAAGAGTTAAGCTTTATTTAACTTTTCCACGTCATTTATTCAAATCGTTTGTTTGTTTATATCCAATGTTTTGCGGTGCTTTAATGCCACCTTATATAGTCTCTGGTGCTACTTTTCACTTTGTAGTATCACTGATGTGGTTTACACTGCTGTTTTGTAAGAGTTTATTTTTATTTTGTTTTTGATTTTACTTAAAATCCTTATCTACATATAACTAATGTTTTATTTACACTTAAAATCTTCTGCTTTTTATGATGTAGGTGCGTAATACATCATGTAGCCTTTTGTTCATGTCCTTGTTTAGTGTTTGATTTTCACCTGCAAGGGTTTTCAGATCCATTACACATGTGTTTCCACTCTCTAGAAGTATACAGTCTGCATCATATAGCATTTTATCCCTTAGATTCTGGAGTTTGTCGCATTTAAATAGGTAGTGGTCAATTGTCTCTGGTTGGTTGCAGTTTAGACAGAGATTTGTACTATGTATAGGGTTTATTTTCTTCAAGTGGCTGTTAAGCCTGGTGTGACCACTGAGAAGTTGATTCGTAATGCAGAATGTTCTTCTGTCAGATTCACCTAGCAAAGGCCTCTTTCCTACAGACTCAATAGAGCGTTGGATATATCCTACTTTTTTCGAGTTGTTGTATTGCCTTTGCCATTTGGACTTTGAAGTTGCGTGTATTTGACTGTATATCTCTCTTTTGGTTATTATTCTACTATCTTGACTGAGTATTTTAGCTGATTGTGCCGCCTGCTTGGCGTGTTTGTCAGCCAGCTCGTTTCCGTTAATATCAAGATGACCAGGTACCCAGTGATACTTTATGCTGATTCCCTTTTGGGAGAGGTTTTTACATGTGTTTCTTATTATAGAAATCGAATTTAGATGATTTTTGGGGGTACCTGTTTCAAACACAGAAGTTAAAGCGGGCTGACAATCACAGAAAATTAAGATATCTCTGCACAGTGGTGTTTTATCAAGATATGTGAGAGCAAGTTCTATGGCTTGAACTTCTCCTATGTAGTTATTGCCAGAACAGCTAATGGGTCTTTCTAGACAGACAGGTTCCCCTCTAAGCCCTTGTAGGTAGATTATTGCAGCCGCACCTGTAGGTCCTGGGTTGCCAAGGGTTGAGCCGTCTGTGAAGACTACTGTAGCATTATTAGGACAGTTGTTTAAAATATCCTCTATCCTGTCTCGTTGTTCAGCCTTGGTTCTGGAGAATTCATTCACTTCCCTTGTAACCTTAATTTCTTCAAAGTTAATGAAATCATTTGAGTAAGTGAATTCTGTTTCCACATTAGTTAGTGGGATTTTTCTACAAAATTCTCTCAGTCTTGAGTTGAGAATGTTAAAAGTTGTGGGTTTTTTCTCACTTGTGATATTGTTCATCCACTGATCGAATTCCCTGTGTATTGGGCTTCTATCTGTCTTGAGTTTTATTCTTGCGATTTCTTGGGCCTGCCTGGCTTTGAAAAGAATGTCTAACGGCAGTGTGTTTGTAAGAACTTCAAGAGTTTCTGTGCTTGTGGATTGTAAACATCCAGTTGCTCTCAACAGTGCCTGTCTATGTACAGTTCTGTATGTAGATATAGCTTTGTCTGTTACAGTGGAGATTATGCTAATGCCATATTCTAAATTAGGTTGTACCAGACTCTTGTAAAGGTTGCAGAATACAGATTGTGAGCATCCTGAGTTAGTGCTTGTGAAGTTTGAGATTTGTTTTAGTGCACTAAAACCTTTCTTTTGTCTTTCTAGAATATGTTGATCAAAACTCAGTTCCTGATCTAGTGTGATGCCAAGTAACTTGGTTGACTCTACAAATCTCCCGATCACGTTATCTGGGTGCAGACTGACATGGTGTGTGCAGTCTGAAATTTTCTTTACTGTTTGCCGATCAATTATTCAATATCTACGATAGTAACAACATATCCACTATTCACAATTATATCTTCTATAGTCATTCATTAAATCTACCGATTTTCACCCTTCAAAGTAAGTATTTGACGTATTTATGTCAATATGTTTTGTTTTTTTTGAAAAATTGGAACCAAAAAGTCCAATATGATCAATGATGTCAGATGTCATGGCTGCACTGAGTGTAGGCTTTGGGAAAAGTGATAGTAAAGCTTATTAATTACACTGGTGATCCACTCAATTACGCTGGTTACCGAACGTTTCGGTAACAAAATGTCGGAACGTCGAAGGTACGATTTTTCTTTTTGCCTTATTGCACACGTTGTAAGCAGAATTCCCACGACATTTATCGCAAACGTGTATCAGTAACATATGTTTAAGAAAATGTACACATTTGCGAACAAATAGTTCAGAAGACAACAGAATCGTCGATTTAATTCCTCACTTAAGTTACAGAAACGGTATTTCGAAAAACAGTTAAGATCTGCACTTTCAACCCATACCGTTTCTGTAACTTAAGTGAGGAATTAAATCGACGATTCTTTTGTCTTCTGAGCTATTTTTTCGCAAACATGTTATTTTATAAAACATATGATACTGATACACGTTTGTGTGAAAAAATGTCGAGGGGATTCTGCGCGTGAACGTGTGAAGGAAAAAAGAAAAATCGTACCTTCGACGTTCCAACATTTTGTTACCGAAACGAACTATTTCGGTAACCAGCGTAATTAAGTGGATCACCAGTGAATTAAGCACCCTTTGCTTTTGTTCGACTTGGCTTTTTAAAAGAGAGTTTCTTCTAGACTACAGTCTTTCAGTTTACAAATCTCTGAACTCATCGAGCTTGATTATCAGAGTTTGTTGTCGAAATAAAGGTGACCTTGTATATACGGTCATTTCTTCTGACATCATCGCAAAGTTAATGAGCATACATTTAGCATGATCTCTTATTGAATTTATGTATTTTTAGCCTTAAACCCGATCAAGAATGTCACAAGTGAGAAGCAACGCTGGGATGCGAGGTGGACCAGGGCAGATGCCACAGCCCATGCACATGCCTAAGCAACAAAGTATGTAAAAAAGTTCAAATATGTATTTATAAGTATGTGGACATGCACTTTCTTCTGAAAATGGAATAAAGGACATTTTATCTGATCAGAACTGGAAAGTAACAAAAATTCCAGCACACCAAAATTGTTCAATTTAGATAGAAATCTTACATCCAGCAAATTGATATTTTGAAGTCTTTTGAACTATAGATATGAGAGCATGCCTAGGTGGAAAACATGATTTTTCTAAAACATTATGTCATACATTCCATACACTTTTCCACAATTTTATTATCTTATCTACACAAGGAAATTTAAGATTCCACTATAATTGATAGACCCCACAGGTTTATGTTTTTGGCAGTTAGATAAATTCATTTACTTTTCACTATAATTTATATTCTTTCCTATAGCCCCAGGGTTGCTTTTACTGAATCCCGCCAGCCAACAACATGCAATGGCTGCACAGATGGATAGGAGTGGCCAGGTACCCCATCCCCAGGTCCATCAGGTCCCCCAGATGATGATGAGGGGGGCCATGATCCAAGGAGGGGTCCCACAACAACAGCATCATATTCAACATTATCAAGGTTAGAAGAACATAGTGTAGCACAACTGCAAAGTAAGCTAAATCAGCTGTCCTTGCTGATAAAATATAAGGAAAGATGTATGATCACAAATATAACCATCAGGCATTAAAGTTGTTGCAGATTCGATAAATCTCCATACGTTCTTGTATTTAATTGAATCCTGATATTTCGTACAGTGTGGCCTGTGAGTAATTTATTTATTTTGTATAAAGGCTCTGTGCAGCAAGCTGTTCCAGTCTCTGCACAGCAACCTCCTGCAACACAACAGCTCCCTACACAAGAGAATGAAAGTTCAGGTAAATACACTGGTACACTTGGAAAAATGAAAAAACATTAAACAAGGTTTAATTGTGCCTTATAAGACTATAAATCCATGCTGAATGACTGAGTTACACTGACATTTGTTTGGGTTACATTTTTGGCTCACCCTATTTATGAGTGTTTGTAATGAAAATGGGTGCCACACCAATACAAGCGAAGATCTAGAAAATTACCAGTATTTCGTTGAGGATCTATTTGTACTTATTTGACTTTAAGACAAATAGCTTTAGAGAGAATTTGCACCTTAGGAGAATATTTGGCGTCAAATGCATGTTAATAATTTTGAAATATCTTCAAATGTTTCATTGAAGACTATAGATACAATACATTATTTTAAGGATCATTGTCTAACATGTTGTACTGACAACCTTGACAAAATAATTCACATTAAGATTGCACAACTACAAAACATTTATGTTGATGATAAATACTGTTAACATTATGTTATGATATTTTAGAATCCTTTTCCTCGGCAAACATTAAAGAGAAAACCCCGATGTGTTTGATCAATGAACTGGCAAGACACAACAAAACCTCCCACCAATACACCTTAACAGATGAGCAAGGCCCTGCCCACAAGAAAACATTCTATGTCAAACTGAAACTTGGGGACGAAGAGTATTCAGAAGAAGGGCCTAGTATTAAAAAAGCACAACATGCTGCAGCCAAGCTAGCTCTGGAGAAAACAGCATTCAAGCATCCTCCTCCCAAGCCAACAAAGAACTATGGCCAAGCTGGATGTGAGTACAGTATGTATTTTATAATACCATAGTAATTTGTGACGAAAATGATATTCTCTGTTTATTATCCCAACGAACGAAGTTCGGTAGGGATATAGTGAAGCCCTCCGTCCGTCTGTCCGTCAGTCAGTCCGTCAGTCAGTCGTTTTTTCAAGATTGCCGCCGCTTTAAAAATGGCGGGACTTTTTCGCAAAAATCATAAATTTATCATTCTGAACCAAAGTAATTAATATTATTGTTTGAAATGTTGGTAGTATATTCACAACATTTGTCTATTTCACATATATTCTGTGTTTTTCATCCTGACCCCCAGGGGCCGTGTATGGAGGGACAGGAAAACAAAAATTTTCGCTAATTTTTTCTATCTTTCTTAAGTATAGCTTTATTATACTCAAATGAAAGGCAATTAAGAGTAGATTGCAAATATTGTATCTTTTTTCTGATTCGAGCCTTGTAAAATTCAAAATGGCCGTCTAATGTACGATTTCGCAATAATTTTTCGATCCCTTCAAAGTATGGCTATATTATACTCAAATTGAAGGAATTTTGGGGTAGATCACAATTATGGTATTATTTTTCAGATTTGTATCTCAGAAAATTCAAAATGGCTGCTTTGCAGGAATTCGCAATTCTAAAATCTAATTTTTTCAATTTTAACCAAAGTAATGAGTATAATTGATTGGAATTCGCTAATTGATATTTTGTTCGTTGGAATTTGCTACTCCGCGGAGTTGCCGTTATCTAGTTTTTTTTATAATCTTTATTTCTTAAAGTAGTTTAATCAATTAAAATCAATTCTTGTATTTTTCATCTCTTTTTTTGTATCTCTTAATCTGAGATATAGGATTAAATCATGCCAAAAGGGCTGATGTGAAAAAGTCAATCCGCAACCTCCCGATTAAATGTCGGATGCTTTTTGTATCTTTCATCTCTTCTTGTATCTCTTTTAAAGGTGAAGGCAATAACCTTACACCTACAGTTGAACTGAATTCTATAGCAATGAAGCGTGGAGAAGCAGCAATATACAAACCTATTGAGCCCCATAGACCAATGCAGTTTAATCAGCCACCAAATATGGACTTCAGAGGCATGTACAACCAAAGGTGAGAATATATTTAGTGCTACTGTGTTTATTTATATTAAAATGTTTCCCAAGCAATGTATTTTACTACATAAATGTATAAATATATTTAAGTGTCATGTAATTGATTTGTGTGGAAACACAATAAAATCTTCAATCTTGAATCTACTTATCTTTCAACTTCATTTGAACATAATGCAAGCTATAGAATATAGTATTATACATGACATGATACAATTCTGTATTAGCTTTGCTTATATAAATGCATGTAGATGTTATGTAGATGGGTTTGCTTTGCTTGCACATGTATTGTTTTGTATCAGCTGATGCAGCGGTTTGGATAAAGCAATGTTTTATCAATTCCATGTGAATTATTTCTTATTCTTGCAATAGTAAATCTATCATGAATGTCAATACAAAGCTCAGGAAGCTAATGTGTACCATTTACAAGTTTGTTGCTTTTTAACCTCTTGACTACCTGGAGTGACAAGATTTCTCATCACCTCAGAAATGACCTTGAAACCTAGAGTGACAAGAAAATCTTTCACTAAAGTTGCTTTTATTTGAACAATTTTCATCCAGTTTACACAAAAATTGCTTTTAATTGTGTAGAAATGATCTTTGCCGTCTAATTTTACTAATTTGAGCATTTGAAGTTGTATAGGTATAAGTGTCTAAAGGTGGCAAAAATGAAAAATTCTCTGGTTTTAACAGATTTTAGAGCCTGGGATTCAAGAGGTTATTGCGTTAACCTCTAACTGCTTGAAGCATTTACACTTGCATATTGTTGACTCTTTGTAGAAGAGAAATCATAAAATGTCCCAGCTTACACTCGGCTGGAATTGGAACCTGGATATGTGTGTAGTTGAATATATGTGTACTAACCATCTTTGTAGTGCCTATAGTAGTGTAGTCTCAGTACAAGATATGCTTGTATCCTTGTCTTTTCTATTTACTGTCTAACACCCACTGTCTCCTGTCTGTCTAATTAGGTATCATTATCCTCGTATGCCCAGGGTTTGCTATGTGTCATTGAAAGTTGGACAGCGAGAGTTTATTGGAGAGGGTGGCACCAGACAGATGGCAAGACATAATGCAGCGGCAAAAGCACTGAATATTCTAAGGAAACTACCACTACCTAACAATGCTACTAGCTTTGCTAAAGTACCTGAACAAAATGTGATAACTGGTGGTGCTAAACCCGTTGCTCCAACATCAGACGGTGGTAAGTTGACAACAGCATTTTTATGTCACCACCAAAAGTGTTGACATATTGTTATAGTCTCCAACTTTTTGTTCAGCAGTCAGTGTTTGGTGGTTGGCGTCTGTAACAAATTCTTACAACTTCCAATCACCATTTGCAGGTGGTGACATTTTGTCTTGTTAATGCCTTGTTAATTCCTTTTCAACCACATAATTTACAAAACATTTGTATGTCTTGAGGATGATGTTCAAAAGTTGAAAATGTCAATTTTGGGAAGGGTGTTGATGAAACTTTCGTGTAAGAATTTTTCCCCACTGACATAAATAGCTTTTTGTTGAATGTAGAGATTAAATGTTTGGAGTGTATATGGCAGTCCCCATGAAGGGGCATCATCTTAACATTTTCATTAATATTCTAGCTAGAAGACCAAACTTTATTTTTATAAAAGATGATGACATGAGATGATTGTGTTTCTGCCAAAACTTGTTTTAGTTGATTGATTTGCCTCTTTTATCTGTACCAGAAGTGTAATCAAGTAAAGGAGAAATCAACATCTATTTTCATAACAGGGGATAGGGATTATGTTGACCTTTGATTATAAATTGGACAATATCTCAAAGCAAAGGAAGGTTACACATGTACTTCTAGTCAGCCATCTTAAATCACTAGTTATCAATGAATTGTAACTTTGGCTTGAGCTATAAGAGTCAGTCCAATTGTCATTGACTGGTTCTTTTTGATATGTATGGACTGGCTTTTATATGGCTTTAAATTGGACTTCTTTTATTGGGTGGAGGAAAATAACATTGCAGCTGGTCTAGTGTACTATTTAAAACAGTTGTTCTTTAATCAGATCATTTCTGACAGTTTGTAAAATGGTTATTTCTGGAGATTTGTAGTCACAAGTGTGAAGATCAGGCGATTTATTTAATTATTAAATTAGTTTTTTATTACAGCAAAGTCAGATTCAAAAGCAGAAAGCAGTGAAGATCTAAAGTCAGAAATCAGTCTAGTCCATGAGATTGCTCTGAAAGCAAACTTACCAGTCAATTTTGAGGTAAGCAAAATACAGTATGGTCAGAATGAGGATCTTATAAAATCATGCTGGATCTAATCAGGACAGGCCTCATCCAGGGGTCTTAAAAGTGATTTGTACCTTCAACATTTAGACTGTACAATCACAGTCAGCACCATCTATCTTCTATGATCTGTGTTATAAGACAGGAAGCCCTAGCTAAATCAACGTTTCTGTTTCTGTTATTATATGTTTTAAAAGGTACAGTATAATTACAGTTTGAAACATTGGTAGTATATCCAAAAATATATCTACGTATTTGACATTTAACTTTGGGGAGGGGGCTGGGATAACAGGAATTTTCATTAATTTTGAGACATTCCTGAAGTATAGCTTTATTATTCTGATTATTTGTGCCTCAAAATCACTTTCTGTCTCAAATCCCAACTGTTCATTTATTTTACATGTAGGTAGTACGTGAATCTGGTCCACCACATATGCGGTGTTTTGTCACCCAGTGTACAGTAGGGGAGTATTCTACGGAGGCTGAGGGAAATGGCAAGAAGATATCAAAAAAGAGAGCTGCTGAAAAGATGCTGGAAGAATTGAAAAAACTGCCTGGTGAGATACATGAAATTACAATTTTGAGAATAGGCAAGATGTCACTATGTCACCACCAGAAGTGACAGATTGTTGTAGTCTCCCCATTTTGGGAACATTGTTCAGCGGTTGATGTTTGGCAGTTGGTGTTTAGCAGTTGGCATCTGTATCAAATGATGAATATGGAAATGTGATAACTGATTGTGGTTGAATATTCAATTTGTCGTTGAAATATAACTAGACATTGACTGACTTCATTGTGGTGGCAGTTGATGTTCGGCAGTTGGCATTTGGCATCTGAACAATAAATGGTAAATGTTAACATTTTGTATGTTAATGCCTTGTTTATCAGTATGAGTGATGGATAAAATCAGCGTTAGTTGAAATGATGTATTTTAAATATGTGAAATTTAAAAAAAATTATTACTGTATTCTCTCTAATGAGCGCACAGTACGCTTCACAAATTGAGATTTAGAAAGGATTAGATATTGAGAGATTCCAGTAAATACACATACAAAAAATAAAAAAAATTGCAGATAGAAATTGTTATCATTAAGGTTTTCATACTCTACGGCTCCAGTATTTCTTTCTCTGGATTAAATATTGAAACTAATACACAAAACTTCTTGTTTTCCCTAGACGATATTGAACATAAAAGTTGCATTTGCATGCATTGAAACTGTGCACTCATAATTGAGAACATCGGTACACTCAAAAATGAATTGTCAATGGGGAAAATTACTTCAATATTTTTTATCCTTTTCCATTGCATTTATTTACCCAAATGGCAACATTTTCATGTACATCAATACTGAGTTTAACAACATCTTATAGCATGATTCATCATTTGCTTTCATAGGTCTTCCTGCACAAAACAATGCTAAAGTGAAAGTGAAGGCACAAGGAAAAAAGAAAAACAGAAACCTAATTAAGGTTTGTACATTGCAATTTTTCCTATTGTGATTTGTAATTGTGGTTAAGATGATGTTCACAACTCTTCCGAGTATTGCAAAGAGGGGTTTTCTCCACAATTACAATAATTTAGATATAGGTTGCACATTTTAAGCCCCACCTGATAATATTGGGTTAGACTACATGATAAGCCAAAGTGATTTAAACGTTATATGGGGCCTTTAAGTATATCAAGTCAAGTCAAGGTCATATTTTATCCATTTATATTTCCAGTTTATTTATCATTTATCAATGATACCAATTAAAGCAAATGATTATATGGAAAAACAACACCTACACGTAGTTTCATTTTTCATCCTTTGTTTGTTTTAGTTTATTAACTACATTGATACTTTGTTTGAAGATAGTCTGTCAGTTGAGAATGCAAGTTATTATCGAGAATATCAAGAATACGTTTTTTATTAGTATGACGTTCAATATGAAGTTCCCCTTGCATAAGTTCTAATATTTCCAATTCAGTCGATCGTTTTGATAAATTCAGGATCTTTGTAGGAACTTTTACCCATATGATTTCTGCTGAATGTTTCCTTTTCAATTTGTCCATTGCTTGATCAGATAGTTGCTGATGTTTTTCCCCTGTGTTACGGCCATCGCCAAATATGACAACAATACTCCGGCCTCTTTTTCGAATTGTATCAAATAATTCTACAGCCTTCTTGTATGCTTTTTCTCCATATGTCTTGCATTCAGTATTGTTTTTCAAAATGTGTTTAAGACCTTTTTGAATCGCACTGCGAGATCTTTTAAATGGAATCACCGAATCTTCGGCAGTGTCTGAGAATGGCACAACAGCTACATTGGACAGTCTGTTGGACATGCTGCTCTTGTTTTGCGACCTTTTTTCATTCTTCAGTTTAATTTCATAAAGAAATCTGTTGATTTCCTCAATAGCATTTTTCTTGTATTTCTTCGCAATGGAACAGGAAACATCAATCAAGAAGATGATATCGACACAAAGTGTACTATCTGTTAAATGAAACATAGATTTTGTTGACATTTGATATGTGAATACTAGAAGCATATTACACTGTCCAATGACACTTTGGCTAGTAAGTGGCCATATTGAAAAATGATAGCCATTTTTATTTGTGTCATTTACATTTTTTATAAGAACTAGAAAAGAAAGGGAGCGATTTCATTGAAATATTACATGTGAATGCTTAGAAGCATTAACATGTGTTAACATATACAGGGTGTCCAAAAAAAACAGGACCGTAAGAAAGTTGAATAACTCGGTCAATTTTACATATTTTGCCTTGAAATTTCAGAATTATTTAGTTCATTCAATGTGAATTTTGTTGTGAAAGTTTGATAATAATCTACCAATTGAGTCAAAAACTACAGCTCCTTACAAAACATGCCCCAAATGTGCAAATCTCATCTCTATGCAAAATTCAATCTGGCGAACAAAGTTGTTGATGATCCTCCTACACACATGTCTTTCTGAATAGACAAGTTTGTTGCCCCAGCTCATCAGTTGCAGAACGCAAACCATATGGGCAGCTCATTCGCCTGATCTAAATCCCCCAAATTTTTATCTTTGAGGATTTCTCAAAGTCAATGTGTATACTGACAGGCCCTAACAATCTAAAGAGGGCAATAACTACCCCAATATTTACCATCCACGTTAATGTGTATAGGTAAGGGTCATTAACAACTTTGTTCGCAGGATTCGTTTGTGCATAGAGAGGAAAAGTGCCCACTTTGAGCATGTTTTGTAAATGACTGTAGTTTTTGACACAATATACAGATTATCATCACTTTCACAACAGAATTCACATTGAATGACCTAAATAATTCTTAAATTTCAAGGCAAAATATGCAAAATTGACCGAGTTATTCATCTTTCTTACGGTCCTGCTTTTTTTTGGACACCCTGTATAATGTTTATGAAAGTGATAAGGCATACAGTTTACCTTGTATTTTCTCTATTTCAGGTAGTTTGGGAAGGGATAGTGGGGGTTCTAACTCTGTACAAGCAATTGTTGTCATAGCTCCACAAATTTTCTGGCCTGTCTTTGAAAACCTAAGAGACAAAAAAGTAAAAACGCTTGTGTGTACATATTATCTTGATTATTCCATGGAAGAAAGTTCAAATAAGGATTGAGAGGAGCTTACTCCTGTCCCTCTCTCTGTCTGTTTGTTGGTCTTGATGATAACTCAAATACAAGTTGGCAGATTTGGTTAAAAGTTAAAAGGCTTAATGTTTAATGGGCATGGGACCTGTGCTCAAGAAGAGATCTTCAAAATCGTAACATTATTCAAAATGACTGTCATTTTTACATAATACATATTATCTTTGATAACTTAATGTGATAAAAACTCTAATTCATAATGTCATATATTACTCTCGATAATACTCTTTAGAAAAAAGTGATATATTGTCCCACCAACTAAACAAAAAGGATCTAGTAGGTGATGTGTGGTCTACCTACCAATACTGTCTAACCAATATTGCAATCTTACTTTAGGATTAAAATGTGAGACTTTGGTGTCTTAGCCCTACCTTTTTCTCGATAATCTCAGGACACCATTTGTTTCTTTTCCAATACAATTTATTTTGAGTGTGACTTTCTGATCTTCCGGGGGCAGTCCAGTTTCACATTGACTTCTTATCTTTGTCACCTCTGCGATGAAATTAGACTCTGCATGAGCCTTTGCATTGAGATAGGTGACAACAAGCATCAAAATGATTCGACTGGATGCTATCTGAAACTCAGTTTATAAAGAAGATACATCACTTTTTCTGTTACCTCCTCCAGAAGTGGTGACATATTGTTATATTCTCCAACTTTTTTGTGGACAATTTTCATTGGTCGGCATCTTATCCAAATGGTAGGTGGTGGCATTTTGCATGTTTAAATGACTTGATTTTATTTGGCATTAGTCAACAATAAAATAGTTTTCCAAAATTAGTAAGACACTGCAGAATAAAAGTTGATTTACCATAAATGCCAAAAGGATCTTATTTATGTACAACTACAGTAGTTAATTGACAAGAAAGGATATCCTTAAACATATTTTATCTCAAGCCTCCTAAACCAATTATTTTTGGATACAAGTATTCAGGCTTCCCACATATACATTACTAAAAGGCATGAATCTCATCATATGTTACATAATGCATGATTACCCTCAATGAATAATAAACCGAAATATATTATTAGTAAACATCTTTTAAGAATGCGTTCAAGTCATATATTTTTCTCTGAGTGTTTAAAGCTAATTTAAGAGATAAGACTAAACAACTTACCATTTTGTTGGGAAACCTTTATAAGCATCAGCAAAGTGTCTAAATATAGTTTACAATTGATTGCTGGATCATCGAGCCCTTATTAATTTTATCTAATGTGTATGTAGGCTGAGATTGTTATTTTACATTGAAATTTATGTAAAATTTATGATGTATCTTGAGATCAAATATTTTCTGAAATTAAAATGAGTTATTCATGTATTGAATTAATCTCCAAAAATGGAAAGATGCTATATTTATTGTTTTTAGTCCTCCACTGTCCAGTATATCTATTCTAATCATAATAAGTTCTCCGATTAACAATAATAAAAAGCCTGCTATAAGGGAGAATGAATAAACAAATTATCAATAAGACAATGTTTGATGATTGTCCTTATTTATGTGCTTGCTTTCAATACTATAACATTTAAACATGTCATAGATTCATACTGTAATTTTATGCAAACTAAATACTTATCAAAGGTATATTTAGTGGTTATGTTACTATTACAGGAAATATGCCTGAGTTCTCCCAATATAGGCAACCTTGGGCGGCTCTATATTTGAGGGAGAACGAAGGCATATTTTATGTCATAGTGACATAACTGATGTATTACATACCTTTATTCTCTTGGCTACTTTGTATCAATGATGTCACACATCTGTGTGTGAGTAGAATTTGATCGAAGTGAAACATGACATCATGCTATTGTCACTATTAAAGAATCTAATATCAAAACGAGGTAAGCAGGCTATATGAGGATAATCGGACAATATCGGTTGATATAGCCTGCTAACTTTCCCATTGACTTCCATACAAATGCTTTAATAGGTATGTTATACAAAAAGATATATGTATGTACTGTATGTATATTTATTTATCCCATACGTGGACGTGTTACGGGTACATAAAGCTGGTTTGTAAAAACTTATATTTTCATCAGCGGGCAGATATAGCTTTACGTCCCGCTCCGAGCGGGCAGATATAGTATATCTGCCCGCTACGTCACAATCGCTGTTCCCGTATTGGTTCTTTTTTGTAACGTTCGCATACTGAATGGATAAAAACGCAGGCAATCGCGATCTGTTTGATGCTTTAAAAAGGGAAGGAGCAGTATGCCCCGTTAATAATCAAAGATTTGAATGGGAAAATCTGGCTACGGACAAGAATACAAAACTGGACATGAATATTTTAAAATAATTCCTCGGTTGGTTGCAAAGTTTCTGAACTTTGGCCAATTAAACAATGTGATTGGTATGGGATAAACAGATCATCCTATAGTCGGTTCAGGATAGATGTATCTTTATTTACCAGCAGACAATTCACCTGTAAGGGCATTTACCTTGGTTGCATTAATGGACATTTATAGAGATAAATTCAACATGTTTTATAGTAATGGCTTATTAGCAAACAAGGTATTATTCTTTATCTCTGTCATTGGCCTTGATAGTTGATATTCTTATAAATCAAATCAGATGTCAGGATACCATGCTCAATTGATTTAGCATTGTATGTCCTTCAACCTGAAGGACAAATTACTGTATAACATGAAATATTGCCGTGGATATAAAGTTGCCGATTGCCGATTGTAAAACAGAAACGGCAACATAAAATTCGGAAATATAATTTAGTAATTGAAGATCGATCTTAGTGGGCGATAATAGTTGTTGTCTAACGTGTGTCAACTTACTGTAATAGGGTAATTTTATAACGAGTATCAACTTACTATACTTTAACAAAAATCATAAATAAAATACGATAAAATCAAAGCTTTATTTCCCAGCATTACAATTACAAAAAAGGTTAATAATAAAAATCTTGCAGTTAAAATGCATGCAGTAAATTCGACAAAATATTAAAAGGATTGTCATGTTAAAAAGTTAAAATGTCAGAAGATATAATCGTATCCAAGTGCTTTGGAAATCCCAGTATTAAAAGTTTTTAATCCCGATATTAAAAGTTTTTAATCCTGGTATTAATTGTCCTGAGTCTATCAAATGCGGGTATTATGTGAATAAATCACTCAAATTGTCACTCATATAATGTCAGGATGTCAGGTTTTCTGAGTCAGTCAAATGAAGGTGATTAAAATTCAGTTGTAAATCAAAATTATATTATAGTCAGAAACCCATGCCTCTCTATCGTTTCAAAAAATTTACCCAACGTGTTCGTCTCTGTTAATTTATGGCATCCATACTTTTTTGAAAGGTAACACTTTGAGGTTCAATTTTCTGCCGGATGCCCTTGCAAACTCTCATTGGTTGCTCTGTATTGTAGCATTCCGTTACCATGGTTACGCATCTATAGACACCTTACCTTGGAATCTTAAATCATTTGTAGCTTTGTCATTATTTTGTCTATAGAAATGATATTGGTATCAAATTAAACCTAAAACAATTTCCAATATAATTACAATATTCAATTATGCAAATTAGCTCATTTGCATAAATTGTGACGTCATAAATCCATTTTTGGTTCAGAATTTTCAAGTATAGCAATGTATCTTTAAGAACTGAAGCCGTACGGTAGAATTTCTTCAAGGTTATGACTTTTATTCTATGTGCAAAAGGTTTAAGCAACATAAAAGTGACAACAGATTCAAAATTGGATCAGAACAAACAAAGTTATTAAGCTTTCTAGGCAGCTACCATGAACGTTATCATTTAACAATTAACTTTAAACATCTTACCTTAGAATTGAAATGTTTGGTAGCTTTGTCATTATTTGGTCTATAGAGGAGATCTTGGTATCAAATTGATCCGAATTGAATAACCGGTATGGTAACGATATTCAATTATGCAAATTAGCTAATTTGAATAAATCATGATGTCATCAATCTATTTTTGGTTCAGAACTTCCAAGTATAGCAACATATTTATTAGATCCGAGGTTGTATGGCGTAGTTTCTGCATAGTTTGTCATTTATTCTATGAGTGGAAGAGGTATGAGCAACATAAAAATGATTCAAAATTGAATTAGTATTAGCAAAGTAATTCATCTTTTGAGACAGCTACTATGAATGTTACTATTTGACAATCATAAATAAAACACTAAAATAACAAAAAGGAAACAAAGCTGATTCAAGCTTATTGAGTGAAAAATATATAGTTTCCATGTCACTGAATTAATTGGTCTATAGAAATGATACAGGTATTTGTAATTTTGACTATCATTGACAGGGGTCAAAACAATTTTTTTGATTCATAGGCGTCAATCTATTTAAAAAGGCGAAACATCATGACTACATGGTCAAACATAAATATTTGTGCTGCGATTCAAGCAGTGAACATCTACATGAATTTTTTAACTGATTTGCTTCATAGGCATCAATCTATTTAAACATCATGAAAGGTCAAACATTAATATTTGTGCTGGGTTTCAAGCAGTGAACATCTATATGACCTGTTTATACAAATTGATGACGTTATATCACAAAATGTATGTCATTGCTGTTTTTTTTATGTCACCATCAAAAGCGGTGACATATTATTATGGTCTCCATTTATTGAGATGGCGTTTGGCATCTGGTGTCTGGCCTTGGCCATCTGTAACAAATGGTAGGTGGTGATATTTTGCATGTTTATGCCTTGTTTAAATCATTTACAAAATGTTATAAAAAATATCAAAATAATATATTTTTTAAAAACCTCATTTAAAAAACAGCAAGAACATTCATTTTGTGATGATAACGTGTTTTCATTTATTACAGGTTGTTTAGACCTCCACTGCTTGATATTGGAAAAAGATTGACTTTTTGCATGCTGGTGACTTGGCGCCATTCTTACACCTAAAACCTAACTTATTTTACCATACTATATGCTTATTTGTTGAATTTTCTAGCAGAAATCGGCTCCCCTTCATTCATTTTGTCAGATTATTGGCAGTGACATTAAAAATACAATTTTTATTATTATTATCTAGGGTGTCTCAAAAAATGTACCCAAAAGTATATCAACAGCAAAGATAAATCAATCAATATTTTCAGATATTTTTTGCATGGTAATTTAGGAAAAGCATTTAAGTTTTCTCTCCAAATCTAAATTTATAGTTCAGTCTTGCCTTTTTGATGCTTTAACCCTTTTTATTCCATGTGTTTAATTTAACCTCCTTACATTTCGATGAAAGACTGCATCCTTACTGCTACATTGTCTATCGTATATGATAATGTTTCTGGTGGAATGTTTTGAATTTCCTTTTACATGTTGATCTCAAGTTGTTCTATGTTCTCTTGGCTTGGGATAAGCATAAACATGGTTCTTGAAGTCACCCCAGAGAAAATGTTTGGGGTGTCAAATCTGTTGAATAGGGAGGCCCTCACAATGTCTTTACACAGAGAGAAGAAACTGCTTTCATGGGAATTTTTGTGTGGTCCTTGCTGTACATGGAGGTACTCAAACTGTCTGGAACCACAGTGTTCTCATTTGTATATCATTCAGTCTCCGTAACTCTGGCAGATGGAACTCCATTATCAATTAACCGCTAAATCATTTGACGATAATTGACCTGGTTCTCTGTGATTGTTCTGCCATATTCAACCTTGGAACTTCTTTCTCTGGGGTTATTTGAAGGAGCATGTTAAGCTAACCCCAAGCCAAAAGACCTGGAACAACATAAGGCCAATACCCAAAGAGAAAATCAAAACGTTCCACTTGAAACATTATCAAATGTAATGAACAATCTAGCAAAAGGATACAGGCTGTCATCGAAATATGAAATAAAAAGTAAAGGGTTAAATCATCAAAAAGGCAAGACTGAACTAAAAACTTTGTATTGGGGAGGAAACTTACATGCTTCAGCAACATGACCATGCAAAAATATCTGAAAATATTGATTGGTTTATCTGTGCCATTAATATTCTTTTGGGTACATTTTTGAGACACCTAGTACCAAGCTATTATAGTTCATAGATAGTATTGCATTTTTATATTAAGTGTTAATGAAGCGTAGAAATGAATAGTGAGGACTTGTGTGAACCCTAGTGAACCCAAGAGTTCCTACATCCAAGTGTCACTGATTTCCATGTGACTAACATCACCTTAATAGTGTAACTTTGAACAAATTAACGATTTATCACCATGTCATCCATGTGACATTGATATCCGCGTTAACATCACCTATATGGCATTCATTCATGTTATAATCTTCATGTACCATTATCCATGTCCGGAACCTATATGGCAGTGGTT